TAATCCCCTGTGGGCTGGTGTAACCAGGAGGTTCCTACCAGTATAATACATTGTTTACATGCATGCCTATTCAGGTTACCATACGTTAATGGGGATTACCTGTGAGTAGACAATGACAGGTACTGCTATTTTAGTGTACACAAATGAAAGGAGATACAAGAACAATGTGCATGGATTAGGTGCATGTATAATGTACGTTGATTACCATAATTTTCTTTATGCAAGCCACCCACTTTTATTTAGCACGTCAAATTGTATTAATTTCCGTGGTAAAAATATATCTTTTTTTTACTTTAGTGCCAATAAAAGTGTGTGCATTGAAAAACTTGTTTTTAACCTTTTTTAAACAATGAAGTGCTCTCAAATGCTGTATGTGTGTACAGCGCTCGCTATGAAGGTTCCTGCGTGGGTGGTCCCGCAGCCAGTTCGCTCAACAAATGGTTATCTGTGGAGTTTTTAATTCAGAAACTGAAACTCTGAGAGCCCCATGAGTATTCGTGTCCGGCTCTGCATTTGGTATCTATGCATTCATCTTCTATGCATTGTTTATTGTTGCCAATACTCAAGGCTCGTGCACAAGGATGACATAAAGCAGCTTTAAAGTTAACACAATTTATTGCTAATTTCATCAACATTACTGCTTCGATAAGTCCCTTGCAAAATGTAATTCTCGTGGACATGGCTTAATGAGCTTAACGACTGGTTCGACTTTAATTTTCGATTTAAAGCTTTCGTGACTGCAGGGATTCATCTTCTTGGTTCTTTCGGTAAAGTTACGTAGAAGGGAAGTAATAAAATAATAAAAATAAAACATAATAAAATAAAATAATTCTCACGACGTTTCGGCCACAACGCAAGCAGCCGTCCTCAGGTGAAGAATGAGACACTACCAAGCTAGGAGCCTATATATATAGGCTCCTAGCCTAAACGTCGTGAGAATTATTTTATTTTATTATGTTTTATTGTATTATTTTATTACTTCCCTTCTACGTGACTTTACCGAAAGAACCAAGAAGACTGGTTCGACTATAGAGTTTGTCCGAGTGTCAATAGGTTATATTATCCATTAACAATATGTCAAACTAGAACCAAATCCAACCTATTCCAGCAGATGCATTTATGTGTGGATGGGTGACCCTGCAGTGATGACCAAAAGCATGAATGCATCCTTTTACCTGTGTTAAATAAAATAAAATAACGTGAGTGGTAAAAACGAGGATGATAGTATCCCTTCCCCCACCCGCCACATCAACTCGGAAACTCAGATAATAAGACTCACTGACCTGTATCATGCAAATGATCAAATTATAAAAGTGAATACAAATTTGTTTGCTCGCATATCTCAGTTATTTATTATTCGTAGCCGAAACTATATGAGCGATGCAAACATTACCAACTGCTTCAAATTCCGTGTATAAACCGTTGACATTGCTAGGGCTGGAGGAACATTTGTTTTATTTCCAAGGATAGTTTGCATGCAGGAAGCATTTCTGTGAGACACTGGTATGTCCTAGTGTGTATTTGCGTTTGCCTATCTAATTTGAATGAGTCTACCTGGCGTATCAAACGCCATTAATCACACGCTGCCTTGCTGTCAGGAACTGTGTGTTCTGTATGCAATGTGCTTTCATTTGAAAGACGAGCACTAGAAATATTGTTACCTTGGTAGCCACCGAGTTGTCTTCGCTGTCTGAATATGGTAAACAGATAGATGTTCATTTAAGAGGAGGGAGCAGATGTAGCCATACCATTGTTACTTACACTTGGGCAGATCATAAAGAAAAGTTGTGAATATTTTAAATGAATTACCATTCAAATTAATTGCAAGAGAAAATTTAAAAAATTGCTTTTTAAAACTATATATTGTTTTTTATTCAAAGGATATTACATAACAACAATTATATTTAGCTTTAAATGTGGCCTTTATGTTGTCATGATCTTAAATATACGCTTTTTTTTCTTTGTGCAGGTGCAAGCTGATTTGGATCGGTTGTAGTCCTTCCGTATGCGATGCCAAAGATGCCTTCTTGGCACCCGATGGTTCGGCTTTGTCAGAAATGTCACCATTGTATCTGCGACTGGTCTCCTATCGATCGAAAGCTTCGTTCGATGGAGACGGGTGTCACTTTTTGGACACGTCGCCCCGTCTTAACACGCAATCTCCAGCAAAATGCGCACTTAAGTTGGCGGTTGGCGATCGACATTCGAAGTGGACTGCGACCCTCAAACGCATGGCGCCACCCCCGTGGTTGCCCCCGTGATACGTGGATCAAACAAATCACTTGAGACGCCAGTGTGTGTTAGCAAGAGCAGTTTATGTGAATGTTGTCGCAACAGGTCACACGTTTGGCACAACGGTCCTTCGCTGACTATGCATGATGAATGAATGACGTGCTATCTTGCGAATGTCATGACATTTGCCAAACTGTCAAATCGCGTGCATCTTGAGCAAATGAAAAGGGCATGTGCCTGTGTCTAATTCTTCCTTCGTTATTTGTGCACTCATCTTATTTCCTGCACCTTTGAATGCAAATACCGCTCTTTTGACAAATTCTGTACGACCAAAGCTCCGTGTGATCCGGCCGGGCCATTCTGTGCCTACACAACGTGTGAATCTCGCTCTCAGGAGTCAACTTATCAGCATTACTCCTCGTCGTTTCCAACTCCATACATGGTAACGTGGCCAAACAAACTTTAATAGTTCAACCCTGCAAATGACGAGAAATCGCAACACCACAGAAACTTTAAAGCACGCTGGAAACAAATAGTTACACTCTGGCAATCATCATCTCCTGCAGGAGTTCAACGCTGATGATCACCCGGTGATGCTGGATGTGATTACCAGCGAACACGTCGAATATAATTGTTAAATGTTGTGCATTGCTCTTCGGCATACCGGTGTGCTGCAGTAATAAACATCTGCGCGTTTGTTCACCTGATTTAAATTTTTCGAATTGTTTCGGGTGAAGAAGGGTGTAAGGTACATATTAGCAATGTGATCACGCGATTTGAGCCAAACAAAATAAATATTAATTTAGATGGGTATTTTTGCCTTTAAATTGCAACCGCGTGGCTGTTTCGCCACAACCGGTTGTCTGTGCTGCCCTCTGGCGGCAACAAGGTTGCGGCTTGCGCCGTATTTTAACAGCTATTCCCCAAGGCTCTCCTCCCACCGCCTTTGTGACTCAGGCATGGATAGTGAATCCCGAGAATATTTCAGTTGCCTTAGTTTATCTCTGTACATGAGTCTCACGCATGAACACACCGAAGTATGTTGTACTACCTTTTATGGGGTAATCATATGACAACATTCTTCTGTTAATCCAGGAGCCAATATCCTAATTTTGCACGTTATTATCATTGTTCGTGCATTATTGAGCGAATGTGTGCATTCCTGGCCTGCTGCTTTTACAGGTGTATACACATTATCTTTAACACGTAGGCTTTGGCGACCAATATTTTCCATAACAGTGGTTTTATTGGTTTAGATCGCGTAAATATAAATGTGTCGTTAAACCCGCCACCACCCGACACAGCCAATTAGTCGTGATAATACACTACGCACAAATCATATATATCTGTTTGCATTTTTTGTCATGAAACCGGGCCAAATGTTCTACTTTTGAATATAATAGCACATTTCTTATTTTGCATGTATAGCAAATGCTATACATGCACGCATCAGAGTACAGTTAACATCCTTTAACTATTTCCACACCCAAGTGAAATACTGAGAGAAAACGAACCTAGTAATCGAGTAGGGGAGAGACAACTATTTACAGTTATGGGATTTAATCCTGATTTTGGGGGGAAATTGTTCAGTTTCCGACATATGGAAAATTCAGGGGACGGATCGTTCTCAGGTACCTAAACCTTCCGTAACCCAGGAACTCCCTTTACATCATTTGGGAATTGGCGCATAAATGTAGAACACAACTCCTGGCAGACTCGTGCGGTGTGGGGAATAAAGAGGTGTAGAGTGTGTGGCTTGTTTGTGCACCGCTCCGCTTTGAGAAACCCAATGCCGGTATGCCACATGAGGTCACGAGGTCACGGCTGTATGCGCTGCACACAGTCGATTTCCAGTTCTTTGGAATCTGTAGTGCAACAGCTGCTGCAGCGACTTTTCTTTAGCGAAGAAGTGGAAAACGCTCGATTGGGATGTTTCACCAAATCCTTTAATGAGTGCTTGGTGTGTTGGAAGGAAACCCGAGAACTATAAGTAAACCAGCACGTAGGCATGTGGGAAAACACTCGATGCTCACCACTAATGGACATCTCCTGGCCATTTTGTATCGCATCACGTGTGGAAGATTCTCAAATATCTACTGGTCCACAAACATTCCACTTTAGAATGGCAAGATTAAAAAGCAAACATGTTTAAAAGGTCCAGGTATACCCCAAAGACAATATTTAGTCTAATACACGCATCTTCTCTGTGGTCCTTTAAAACACTTTATCATAACAGCTATATTTTGTACCCGTTTTAATTGAAAAATAAAATAAGAATTACTAAATGCCCTTCAAATAAGGTGAACAGAATGACATTTCAAATTGAAAGCCAGGTAAGTGTCTCCCTGTTCAACCAGTGTTGGGCAGTGTTCACTTCAGTGGTGGCCAGAAGCCAGTGGTGACGATTCCCCATACTTATGGTGGGAGACAGTATCCCTGTAAAACTACCACTATTACATTCGCACAAAGAGGTACTACTAGGTATTAATCGTTTCATCAACCAGTTGGAAATAATAGGCGGAGTCAAATACCAACGAGGATGTAATCTGTATTTGCATAACGACACAACATTGGATACATGTGTACGTTTCCAACACAACGTTGAAAGCCCTCGAAAAATAAAGCATGAATAGTCCACCACTTCCCACCTACTGAGAGTAGAGACACTGCAACGTCTTTATTTGGAATAAATCAACCTTACATTTGCATACGAATGTGTTCGCCAGTTGGACCTCTTTATTCTGTTTGCCTTTAGAGGTCTCACGTGTGCACCATATTCTGTATAAAAGTCAAGAGATCCCAACTGTGAGACACGGCAGTGGAGAGGATTCACTCGTGATCGAGAAGCTCAATCTCTAGCAAATTGGAGAGTCATCGATCAACCATGCTCGCCTTTCTTGTCTGCGCTGCCCTGCTGGTTGGAGGTGAGTGCTCCTCTTTCTGACACCTTGAGCTGCTGAGTGATTACAATGCACGCATTTGATTAAGTGTAGCAACCCTTCCATTTTCTTCAGGAACTGGACTGAGTTCTAGAAGAAGTTCCTGGCACCAGACATACCTACATGCCCTTTGACTGTGCCCGGATATCGCTAAATTCTTCCAGGGCATTGGAAAATACTTTAATATTATCTGTGGCATGAATATTGGGCCCTCTGTGGATTCCCCCCTGTGGGGCCTGAATCCTGCGGGGATATCCAAACACCAGAACACGTGACCCCAAGCCTTAAATACCATGGCGAGGAAAACTAACTTAGCTCATTGGAAGGACCCCAAACCCCCTTCCTGGCGACATTGGAGTCGATCATCATACACTATGGTCGCAATGGAGCACCTTAGTTTATAACCCTAAATAACACGGATCACCTGAGGGCAATACGATGATAAATCCGAACAGGGGAACCAGGGGAAATGGTGAGGAGGTGGGGAACATTCCACAGGCCTCACATTATTTCAATATGCTCTGAATGAGAGTAGTTCCTAGGAGGGGAATGGGCGGATCTGGGCTCCAATTTATCTCATTTTTCACGTTACTCGTTATTTTGGTTATACCACATGGGTTATAAAAGGATCCCGATATACCCACAATAGCCCCAGGTTGAGGAGAAAAAAATTACCCGAGGGCACAAAACCTGGATATGCAAACGTTGCATGTACGTTGATACACCCTCTGTCATGGTCGCGGTTTCGGGTTTTAAATAAAACAATATATGTAAAAGAAGCTCCTGTAACGTGGAGTGAAACATCGGATATCATGCAGAAAAGTACAAGGTATAAACCAAAAACACATCAGGGAGATTTGTGTGGTCTTATGTTTGTGTTATTGTGTGCGTGTGTGCTATTGTGTATATTATTGTGTGTGTGCTATTGTCCCTTACAGCTGAGGTGTCTGCTCAGAGCTGTGGGATCGCAGCGTATCCCCAGATCCGCGTGGTGAACGGCGTGGAGGCTCGCGCCAACTCCTGGCCTTGGCAGGTAACGGCAGAGGCTGAATAACAGCCATCACAGCCACACGATGCATTGTCAGTCGATCTCAGTGCAGCAGCAGCATCCATTGTTGTACATGCCACGTGGAGGCCATCATCCAGCAGTGGATTGACAAAAGGGCTACATGTGTGCAACATGACATGTTCAGATCTTCCATTCTTCGCAAAGACATTGGATGAGTCACTGTATATGGTAATGGCAGAGTGGAAGCGCAGTGTTTCATGCACTGCACGACGAACCAGGCAGCATGTGTTACATTCCCAGCGACTGCTAACGTCAGTTGTGAGTGAAATCCTAACTAGTCCCAGGTTAAATCTCTTCACAACCAGCTCTGGCAAGCATTTGTGAGGCAGTCGATTTACAAAAGGGCTAAGTTAGTACTGTATTATTCGATATAGAAATTTGACTCATTCCGAAAAAACTACCGTAATCACCACCGCCACGCTGTGTGTGCATTGCAGGCGCTCGTGCAGAGGTACTCTGGAGGAAGATGGGTCAACTACTGCGGAGGAACCCTCATTGATAGTCAATGGGTGCTCACCTCTGCGAGCTGCTTCACGTGAGTCACGGCATCAGTGGCGTCGCTCTCGTGTGTGCAGGCGGTGCAACTGCACCGGGGTCCAGGTGCTATCAAGTATTTTCCTGTACCACATTGCAGCCACCATAGGTGGAGCAGTGGATCTTTGGAGCAAAGAGGCAGCCTCTATAAATGACCTTTACACGATGCCGCAATGTGGCAGTGAAAATACCATGCAGTAACTCGCATAATTTCTGTTTATTAATTCCTCACTGCAATGTTTACAGGTGTAAGTGATTAAGACCGTCCGTCGCTCTGTTATTTCCACACATCCACCACAACGTGCAGGAGTGGCTACAGCTACAGGGTGGTGCTGGGAAAGCACAGTGTGTCCACAACCGAGTTCGGGGAGGTCACCCCTCCATTGAGCCTGGCCGTCTGGCATAGCTACTGGAATCCCAGCATGCCGGCGAATGGGTGAGAACACACACGGGCGCGCTGGTTCCGTGACACCGTGACATTCAGAGTTGCAATCAACAGATAAACATACATGGAGACAAACATTCATAGAGATATTCCAACAGACAAAAGACAGATTATTTTTAAACAAAGATTATCATGGACATTGCCGTAAAACGAAAGAACGCATAATTTGAATATCATATATCAGTTAAGGATTATTTGTAAACAGTAGAATTGTATTATATTATAGAAGGCAGTGTTAATGGCAAGGCGATGAGTTGTCTTGATTTGTACTCCTACACTGTTTCCAGCACATACCCATTCTTTGTTTGACAAAGAGACAGACAGATACTACACAATGCTATTGCTTCATCTCCTACAATGCCTCTGATAATCCAATAACTGAAATATACAGTTATTGTGGGAGATGTGGTGTCCACACAATCTCATATTATCCATGGTCCAATTCTTCCTATTATCCGTCATTTCCCCCCATACATCAGTGGAGTATAATAGCAAATAATAGGATCTGCGATATTGATCTCCCACATCACCAAGGTGCACAGTGCTGAACCCCCATTGCTTGATGTTATGTTCGGTGTTGAGCGTCGCATCACGGCTGCCCCTGTCTCAATCCCCCACAGGTACGACATCGCCATGTTCAAGATTGCGTCGCCCGTGGCTCTCTCCAGCAAGGTGCGCCTCGCCTGCCTGCCCAGCGCCAACCAGATCCTGCCCAACAACTACCCGTGCTACGCCACGGGCTGGGGATCCCTCGACAGTGAGTACCGTTCACTCAGTGTGCATTAAACACAAGAGGAGGCAGAGCTATGTATACTTTGCATCAAATTCCATGTATCTTGAGGCACCCTGCGGCAGCCTAGCCAAGGGGACCCCATTGGCAGCTGTCCCTGTCCACCAGAAGGGGAATGCAGCCCCCACCTACACGTGGGCATAACGATGCCAATAGGGTGGCGGTGTTGCTACGTGGCTTTTCTCCTTTGAGCACTGGGAGTTGGGCAGTTCGCTTGGGGAGCGCCTGTTAACGCCACACAACCCCGATGCTTTCACCAACGCTCTCCGTCTTCACATTGTCTGTGCACGTGAGCAGCCAGCGGCCCCTTCCCCAGCGCGCTGCAGCAGGCCAGCCTGCCCGTGGTGGACTACGCGACGTGCAGCCAGCCCAGCTGGTGGGGGAGCAGCCTGAGGAGCAGCGTGATCTGTGCAGGGGGCAGCACCCGCTCTGCGTGCTATGTGCGTATGGAGTTCAACGCGAGCCAACCCGCGCCCATTCCTTAACGAAAATAGTTGGCAGCAAAATGTTTCTTTTACATCTTAATTTAGTCAACAGTGAGTGAACAACAATCACCAAGCATGGCGATGACTATGACCACTGACATCACTGATTGGCTGACCTGGTAATGTTGGGGGAGCGAAGGGGGCACACATTCAACCCATTTAATAACTCGAGTCGACAAATAGTGTGACTGTTTTAATCGCCTCGTCTAAGAGAATTACTAAATTAAATCTATGGACTAAGATTTGACTAAAATTTCACAAAGTAAGTGTATGCATGACTGCATTAAATCAATAAATAAACAAGAAAATAAAATGATGACCAAGTTAACGCCAGAACCAACAGGGTACGTATTGAGTTGTCACTTGTCATATTTTTACTTTTCCAGACCCTGCCACGTATGTATAGCTACCTGAGTAGTGTGGGGCAAGACACAGTCAGGTGTTTTGGAAGGGATCAGGCCTTGGGGTTGTGCGATATTACTCTGTTACTTAGCAACACGGTCCGAAAGCACACTTGCTAAATGTTCTCATCCAGATACCGATACAAGAGCTCTAAGCTCTTGTACTTTCCCTTGCTGGCACCTGCCATCATATCAAGTTTTTACCCAGAGTTAACGTGGATGCATGTCTGTGCTCTGCTTTGCATCGCAGGGTGATGGAGGTGGCCCACTGAACTGCCAGCGGTGGGACAATGCCTGGGTGGTGCAGGGAATCACCAGCTACATATCATCTCTGGGCTGCAACACGATCCGCAAGCCCACCGTGTTCACCCGCGTGTCAGCCTACACGAGCTGGATCAGCACCGTGAGTGCCGAGGCTATCAATGTCAATGTTCTTACCATTACCTCGCTGTCAACATCAATATTGTAGTAAAATGGTACAGTCAGAAACATTTTCAATAGCTCGTCACTATCAATATCATTACTGTTATTGTTCTTCTCAATGGCAATATCATTGTCAATGTTGAAATTGTTGTAAATACCAATGTAGGTGCATAGTCAGGGAAAGGTTGTATGGATGGGGCATGTGTGGAGGATTGAAATGGACATGTTACCATGAAAAGCAAAACAACCAAATGGAAAAATTAAACCACAAGATAGGTCAGGCGTTGACTACAATAGAAGAAGCGATGGCTCAGTGTGATGACCTATTTATCGTTATCGATGACAATGCAAAGGTGGCATGTAGACTCAGTGTGGCTGGCATCGGCAAGGTATAATTGCTATCATGTTCGTTTATCTGTAGGTACTGACGTTCAAATACCACCCATTTCCCGTTTCTCCCGCAGGTCATGAGCGTGTACCGTGAAGCCCCGAAGCTCGCCGAAGGAGAGCAGAGCATCAACAGCGGAGTTAATGCCACAATTGCCGCATTCAAGAAGCCACAGGCTTAAAGCATCACGCTCTTTATATCAATGCTACCACTAACCCAAGAATTACAGTTCCTTGCTATTGGTATGGCCTGTTTAATGTGGAACTGGGCCTGTGAGCATAGGATGGGTGGTTCTAGTCAGTGAGTTTGTGTGGCCATGCCAGACATGTTATTAGTGTTAATGATACTGTCACAATATGGCATTTAGATCAGATGATGACCAGTTCTATATTTTGACAACAAAACATTTATTTGGAATACCAACATGTATATTGCACATCCAGTACTGAAAATACAATTTGGAAAAAAAAATTAAATTGAAGTTCCATCATAACACTACACTTTGCATACCAAGTTAAAATCCTTTACCTTTGTGAAGACATTGTTAAACAATATTGCATATACACTACTCTTCGACTGATGATACATGCTAAATTTAAACATCATCCATTCATATTCTTGGAATATGAATCCCTGCAGTCACGAAAGCTTTAAATCAAAATCATCCATTCAGTTTACAAATTATATACTCCCAAGCCACAGTTGGAGTTGCAAGCTCACCGGACTATTAGACCACCTATTAATGGTTTCTTTGTTGCACATGTACAGCCCCTACATATCCAGGAACTTATATTACATTTAATTATTGTCATTGAGGCTTTAATATATAGGTCAAGGAAAGGTAGCAATTGTGCAATTTCTTCCAATATCAATTGAGTTTGGATTGGATCACGAGATATAATGCTGTATTGTGGAAAGGCAGTTGATTCAGGGTGATACAGCATTGTAAAGAAAATGTATTTTTTAATGATTCATGCATCTGATGTGTTTTCTGAATTCGTCATACTGCATTAAGCTCTATACATTTCTAATCTGCTGGTGTATAGTTTTGATTGGTGAAAAATAAAATAAAAAATGCAAACAACATTCTGATTTATGTAAACTACTAGTGAACGTTAGTGCACATTCACCAGACACCTAACACAAAGTCACGATTCACCAAACACTCTAATCACCACTCATCCTGCACTCACTGGACACGGTACAGTACTCATTCACCAGGCACTGCTAGGCTACGTATGGTGCGAAAGAAGTTCAACATACAGTACATACGACTCGCCTAACCATCTCTACTCGGCTGACCTTCGGACACCACTAACCTGCAACTCATCCGACACACTAAATAGACGTGCATCGCTCACTTAACACTCACCACTTTCTAGACGCACCCGACTCCCGTTCTCACTCCTCACTGAACACTCGCCAGTCACTAGCTATGCACCCATGCCTGCAAAGCAAAACTTCGGTTTGAGGGGCTGTAACTACACGAATTGCAATACCACAATCAATATGGCAGGAAGAGCACAACTCAGCCATTAGCAGTCGCAATGAGTTTCTGCTGATCATATCCGGCTAGTTGTCTCACTGAGCTTGTCCTGAGTTGAACTTTCAACGACCCAGTAATAATAATACAACGGTATAAATATATAGTGTATGCGTGTTTTGACATTAACAATGCCGAATCTACAATGCCTTGTTTAATATTTCACAAGGTTATTGTAAAATAACAGTGCATTTTGAATATACAGTACTAGAAATTATTTATAAAACGGAGATTTTTTTTCATGCGGTGGCAGTGGTGTTCAGGGGGTTCAGTTCCTGGTGATGCAGAGCAACCGTGGGAAATTGGAGTAGAAACCTGAACTGGGGGCCACCAACATCATCATGAGCAATGCGGAGTTGCATAAGGATGGCCTGTGTGTGGTGTTGTTGCCCACACCCCTCCAGGTATTGTCTGAGCCTAAATAGGTGCTGCTCATCAGTGAGCTAGTGCGGGGCTTGTAGCACATGTTATAAAAGGGCCCTATTTTATTTTAAACACAAAAATATTAAAACACACATTTTTTACTTGCATAGTAAAGTAATTGTATTTTTTCAATTGCTATACAGCAAGATAATACGACAAATCGTTAACCTTAAACACAGGCGTTCATAAAAGTTGAAGGTAGTAATAGTACTATAGTAATAGACCAAGTGCAGAATCACTGAACTGAAATTGATAGCATAGCTTGAAAGCATTTAGCGCGGGGCCCGTAGCATATGCTACTTTTGCTACTAGGATAATACGGCACTGCTGCTCACCTAACAGCACTTGCAGTGGCAGCATGTAAGACTGAAGTCAAGCCAAAGGTCAAAATGTGTCGGTTGTCCATCAAGTGTGAGGAAATACTGATCTTAATTGGAGACCCCTGCGCCAAGAATGAAATCTCCACAGAGCCTAAATATGGGATGTTCACGATTGGTGTGGTTTACAACTGGCAGTGTGTCCGCATTGTACAACATTTCGTGTCCAATGCATTGTCCATTACATCTAACACATAAATTTACAATGAACAATACAAATATGTGAAAAAGAAAAAACTAAGCAAACACCACCAATGCTGTGCATACATTCTAATAAAATGTAATACTTTCAAAGTACTACAATTATATGGAATATAACAACACTTAAAAAATGCAAAAAATGCTCGTGTGTGTTTATTGGAATTAATCAAACTCTACTGACTGTGGCGATTCGTGTCAATATTAATAATCGAGGCACTAGGTTTCACCTTGTGCCACTGGGTGTCGCTCTGGCAGAGTGCTCGAAAATCAGAAAGTTGAGTTCCAATCCAAAGCATGGGGATCATTGTGCATAGCCAAGTCAAATCGTCTCCCTGCCCAAACGGGCACATGGGACGGTCCTCATATCTCAGAATCAGAATCTTTGTTAATACTGGAGGAAAACGATGAGATATCAAGCTCTTTTTCACAGATGTCCAGTATTTAATGGCCCAGAGCCATATATAACTCCTGTATTGATCTGTCCATGACCCAGAGTCAGAGGTGGAAATTCCACATTCACAGGTCATTGGGTGTCATTCCCAAATACGTTTGTTGACTTTTGGCTTCGTACAAAGTGACACGTCTCTCATTAACTCACGGAGAAATTATGGGCAGATTTTCACTTCCAGCTTTTCAATTGTGAGTTAACTAGTCTAACCTATGTGCAAACTATTCCATTATTACACAATACTGTATAAGGACGCGTCGTTCATACGTTATTTGTCAGCAATACTGAGTGCTTGCGTAATAGACAAAAGTATGATTGTTTGTTGATCTGAAAATCGAAATACTGTTGACTCCACTTGTAACATTGAATGCGATAGTACTGAACCGTCACGTTTGTACTCTACAACACTGCACTTTATCATCATACTCCACTTGAAAGCAATATTCCTGTGTACACGTTCGTTTAACATGAATTAGTGATGTCAAGATTCTCCACCACCACAAACACTACAATTTGATTGCCATAACTTAAAGTGACGATTCCAATCGTGGATGAATTCTTTTTGGGAAGAACAATAACTCCACGTGTACAATATAACTCCTACATTAATATTAATAATGTAGACAAATGTTTATTATCTAGAAAAGCCTTACTTAGTCTCAAGACATTGCTGTCAGACAGGTCCTACATTCAGATGTTTGGCAAATTCCTCTTCGACAGAAACACTCTCAAATGGCATACAGGCAGGTCCGGAACCCACTTGCTGTACTGCAATATGCTGCCCATCATGCCTTGCATCAATTTGAGTCTTACAGCGAGCGACGGCATCTGCACAATGCACTGTGATGTCACAGACCTGCGCCACTGCATTAAAACAGCTGAACGTCCTGGTTTTGCCAGAAATTCCTTATTTTAGAAAGGATGTCCTCGTGTCTCGAAGCTAATGCGCAAATCAGGATCTTTCAAATGTCCTGGCCTCATGCTCGACTCATGACATGAGCAAAGGGCGGGGCTGCCCGATTTGTGCGCAAGGCTGGCAGAGGAGCAGGTGAGGCCCGTGAGCAGTGAGCAGGGCTAATGTTAGAGAGTGGGCAGGAGGCTTGCTCACTGTGTGGGCCAGGCTAGTGGTTGAGTGGGCGTGGCTATTAAAGAGTGGGTGGGGCTAACGGCAGGAGACGTTCCCAGCTCTCCGTGCATCCCACTTGAGCTTCCCAGGCGCTTTAGTTGTTGTAACTTTACACCACGGCTGACACTGCGATCACATTCTCAAGTGGCGCCGTCGAATAGGAGCAGGGGGCTGCGCAGGGTGACGCACGAGTGGTGGAAGAGACAGTACGGCAGTCTTCCCGCGGGCGCCCACGCGTCCACGGCTGGGTCGTACAACTCCAGCGAGTCCGAGTCCACGACGCTGGGCGTGGGCGTGATGGCCCTGCCGCCTGACACGAGGACTCGGCCATCCAGGACGCACGCCGCGTGATGCGCGCGGCGTTCCCGCAGGTCGGCCAGCCGCGAGAAGCGGTTTGACGCCGGGTCGTAGGAGAGCACACGCCGCGTGTAACCTGCACCACGCGCACCAGTCAGGGGCGTTCGATCAAACGGGCGATCTGTCGAACGTTTATCAGGCCAGGTGATGCTGTGCTGCATCATACATCGAATTGGTTAACTCGGGAAAAGACCAAGCACTGAAATGTGGTTGTGGGGGAGAGTACACGAGCCAACCGAACACTATCTTTACCCCTGACTTTAACCAACTGGCTAACCAGCCACTAGTACTAGCCCTTCCCTCTATCACTAACTAGTCAACGAACAATATTATCCATACCTTTAACATGAACCAACTAGCCAACCAATCATGAATACTAGCCCTACCTCCAACACTAACCAACCAGCCATTAGTAGTATTCCTTCATCTGATGCTAAATGACTATTCAACCAGTCACTTATACTCGTCCCTCGAGTACTAAAATTACCTAATTGGAATAACCACATACCAACATCACCCCTACTGGGAGCCAAGATCTGTTTCCGTGAATCACAGTGCTTTCCTTCATGATATCCTTGCATTCTAAGAACGGCACATGCACTGTGGGAATGGTTAATACCACCCCTGGTTTAGAGCCACCCTGTTTCTCAGTTTAGCAAAGGGACACTTCTGACATTGACTCGAACTCCTCTCTGAGTTGCCACGCACCGCCAATCACGATGATCTTATCATCCACGACCACAGCGGGGGCACTGATGTTCTTCACCATCCGCGTCTCCAGTCTGAACCACGCGTCGCACTCTGTGTTATAAATCTGCAGGCCACATAACCACACGTACATAGACACACACACAAAGATAAATACCCTGATTAAGTGCGCAACATTAAATCGGGTTCTGCATTTAAATTGGCAAAATTCCGGCTCTGAAAATGAAAAACATTAGTTTGAGTGCCATGCAATGAACGCTGCACTCGTTACTCTAATGTGGCAGCCATGCACTAAAATGCTGCCCCCTTCCACGTGTTCCGGAGGTCACTTTTAGTATCCTTCTGCGGGCCATCTTCTAACAAGGCGGGTGGGCTCGCACCACTTTGCGAGAGATCCCAATGGATCCATCTCATAACAGGAGGCGTCGCTGTTAATCGGTCGCACAATCAGCCTAAAATCCTGGTGGGGGTGGGGTGGAACGACATCAACAAAAAACATTTAAAATACCTGGATGATGCGCGCGGGCGTCTTGGACCGCAGCTCCTCTCCGCCGATTACGTAGATGCGTCCTTGCACCGCAGCCACAGCCGGCTGCCCCACGGCCACGGGCATGGGTGCCGCCCAGCGCCACTCGCCCTCGGTCGACTCGTACCGCTCCACCGACAGCAGTGCCGCCTCCCCGCTGGCGCCGCCCCCACCGCCAACGCCACCGAGCACGTACAGGCGGCTTCCCACCGCCACGCTCTGGTGCCCGTACCGCGGTGCGAGCAGTGGCGGCGCGGGCTTCCAGGCGGCGGCGCGTGGTGAGTAGCGGTGTACGTCGGTGCACGGCGCCCCCAGCGAGGCCCCCGGCCCCACGCGGATCCCGCCCGTCACATAGACAGCACCGTGCAGCGTGGCGGCCGACGGCTGGCGGTAGCGCCCGGGCAGCTTGGGGAGGCTCAGCCAGGAGGTCAGTGGCTGCTCCTCGAGCGTGGCGGTCTCCAGCAGCAGCACGGAGCGCGTGGTGCGGGCGCTGTCCGCACGGCCACCCAGGATCACCAGGTGCTCGCGCAGGAAGCAGTGGCGTGGAGGCGGTGAGGAGCAGCCGGGCGGCGAAGAAGAGGAGGAGGAAGAGGAGGAACCATCCTCGGAGTTGTGGCAGTTGTTGTGGCGCTGGTGATATTGCGGGGATGTCAATTTGGCGACGGCGTTGTCGGCGCGGGCGCGGCACGGAGGAGACGCGCGTACCAGCTGATCGCGGGCCACGAACACGGCCAAGAACTGTGGGTCCACGTACTCGAGCCGGACCTGCGCAGCATGCACGTGCGAGAGTGTGCGCGCTAGTTAAGAACGCTGCGGTATTGAGGTGGCCGGGTGGCTCCAAGATCAGGGTGCTGACTTGGCATGGCTGAGATCCTGGGATTTAATACAAGCAGCCGCCCGTGCATAGTGAGTTGTTGGTCACAAACTGGTCACCAATGATTGCACAAAACAACCACCCCATTACATTTGGTTCTGCAACTACAGTTCCTATGGGGCAGATAAAGAATCACTTCATGGGAAGTCAGCACTGGTCATCCCATAGTGAAACTCTTCTCCACCATGGGAATGTGGAAAGTCCTCCAATGTTTCAGGGCCACAATGAAGAGGGTGCTGCCCAACGCTCTTTGGTTAGGGAAACATTTTGACTTGACTTGGTAGGTGACCATCTCACACTATCTGCTGCCAAGCAGTTACACACTAAGTGTTCGCCTTTCAGTGTCCCGAATCTAAAAATTATTCTCAGGAAGAACTAGCATTGGGATGTTGGACCAAGGTAAATTGTTTTATACATATAAAGGTTTTTTTTTTACGTGGGAGAAAACGAGAATATCCAGAACAAACCCACAAATATAATGAGACAACACATTAGCAATCAGAACCCATTTTCTGTGCTGTCACATTATACAGGACACCCTGATGATAGCTCAAGAGGTTGCATGCAATTGCATTCAGAGTAACGGATTACAGGTGTCTGCTGTAAACGTGAGAAGTGAAGAGTGAGTACAATTTAAAGATGCGACTGCTGAGGTTTTTGAGGTGGCGCTGCTCCCGGGGAATTTCCCACATAACCTTAGAACCAAAAGTTGGCCACCATTTCAAACAGAGACCATAATAATGGCAATGGTGGGCAAACCGTTAGGACAAAAAACGCTCAGCCAGCAGCCTTCACCTAGAGCAGTGGTTCTTAACCTGGGGTGCGAGATGCCCTTTCTGGGGGTGCGAGACATTGCCAAAAAAAAAATCGAAGGTAAATCATCAAAACACAAATTAAGCAAGGGCACATAAGTACAACAACTGTTTCATCAAACCTATGTATTTATTAACGTACATTTGTTTTACGATTGAGAACCAAAGGGGTGCAAGGTTGCAGTAAAGGTTAAGAACCACTGACCTAGACCTAACAAGCTAACCAAACACGAGCCGTAAGCCGAGCTCTATCAGACCAGATTCTAGCACTGGCACTACCCCTGGACCCTACCTCTAACTCTAGCTCCACCTCTGTCACTGCCCCCCCCCCCCCCCCCCTTATCGACATTTTATAAAAGTGATCTTTCCTTGTGCTCAATCATCCCCTGCACGTCCAGCGTGGCGTGAACAAATAAACGACCGACCGAGCGATTTAGACAAAAAATCAATCGCTCGAGCGAACGAACCTTCATGAAGAGTCGCTCGAGGTGCTGCAGCCGGCTGCCCGGGTCATGCCGAACCCACGCCACGATGGTCTGGAAGACGGTCTCCTCGTCCGCGCACAGCTGGTCGTCCTCCAGGTAGCGCGCGAGCTCCTCCCCCGTGAGCGCCAGTGCCGCGCCGCTCTCCGCCACCTCCCTGAAGCGGCTCAATGCCATCGCCCGCGCCCTGCCGCACAGCCCCGGGCAGCCGAAAGTGTCGGCGAGCGCCATGAGGCTCAGGCAGTTCTGGGGACTGAGCCGGCGCTCGAGGAACGAGCAGCAGGCCCCCTCCACCTCCCTGAAGTGCAGCATGGACGCGGCCTGCAGCAGCTCGCCGACATTCTCCTCTGAGATGGACACCTCGCCCGTGTAGGCGAAGTCGAGGAGCGAGGCGAGGGTGCGCGCCGGCACGGAGCCCAGCCGCACCGAGTCCTCAAGCCCCTCGCGGAATCCGTGGGAAAACATCGCCCGAAAGTAGGGGCAGCAGGCGGCCAGCACGACGCGGTGGCAGCGGAACTCGGCAGCGCCGCAGTGCAGGGAGATGTCGGTGAGGATGCCCTGCAGACGGAACTCGTTCATCTGAGGCAGCAGCTCCAAGGCCGGGGAGGACGAGCGGAAGATGAAGGTCTCTGGGCACCCGTGGCACGAGTCGTCCGTGGAGACATTACAGATGTCCGTGATGAGAGACGCGGGGGAAGTGGGAGACGCGAGCGGTGGCTGTGCCTCCATTGTCTCGTTCACGGTGGCTTGACTCACTGCTGGAAACTACCGTGCACCAAAGTGTCCCAACTAGTGTGAGCGACACGTCTATCGAAGCGACCTCAGAAGTAGTTCTGTGAAGTCATGTTTCTGGAACGTTCTCTGACACGAGGTAAAGTTACACTCCTCACTCCAAGGGTTCCAAGTGAAGATTATTTATTCTACAATAAAATTGTACGTAATGGCTTTATGGTGTTATTTTTGTGCGTGTTCTGTTCTTGGTTGTGCCATGTGGCGCTCGAAGAAGAGTTGCTCTGGTGCTGGTGAACTCTGAAAGTGAAATACAAAAATAACATGTCCATTTAGATGCGGTTAGAACAAATATAAAACAGCGCAATAATCACTGTTTGTGCTGTCTTATAACAGAAAAATAAATAGTAGGAATCTTGGGCTATGACCAATCTTGAACGAATGGAGGTAATGGTTGTGTTGTTTTAGGAAGTGCTACTTCCATCCATTACAGAAAATCGATCATAAATCCGTGCACCAAATCTGTATTCCTTTTCGGGGATTGAACCAGCGTTTATTATAATCATTTTGCTGGAGCTGGGTAATTGCAGAGCCGCAACACGGCTCTACTGTTGTTGCAGGATTAAAAATATTATCTCCCTGTCAAGCCACTTCCTAGAAGTCAATGATTGGCGAAAATAATTAAGTAACCGAAAATAAATCCATTCTAAATATCAAATTGGTCACTGCGCTCCTCTCCCGAGTTCACGTGCGTGTTTACCCGAGTGCTCTGCATTCCTCAACGCATCTGACCTTCACCACGTGCAGCGTGACGTCACAGACATTACCATGACACCGGCCCTGTCTGATCGAGCACACGTGGACAGGAGCACGAGCTAACCTAAGCCATTACTGTAATCATATTTCCAGAGATGGTAACGTTAATCACATGCTATTACACTACATTTGCAATGTGTAATACCAATCATATTCTGAATTATTTATTCTTAAACTTTTTATATTTTATATTCGTCCTGGTGGCTCAGTGGTAGAGCAGGCAGTTTGCAAGCAGAAGATTGCGATTTCAAATCCTGGTTGAAGGTTGACTGAACCCATCTCCCTACGGGGTAGTTAAAATAAATACTATTTTGTGGGGAAGTCAACAGTGGTTGCCCTAAGGGCATTAGAACGTTGAATTTCTATCACTGAGCAGGATTAACACATTGACATTTGACTTGACATTCTGTTTGCAAAAACATTATAAAAAAGATATTTTAATCTAAATTTTGGTATTGTCAGCCTAGGCTATGTGAAGACAGCGTTCGTGAATATCGATCATTTATTTGCAATTACGATATCTCAACATTAGCAGAGAAATTTCCAGAAGAGAGAAAAAAAATCGTTGAGTTGGAACACAACTGAGATGCGGGCATTGGCGGAGTTTTGGGGGCACATGAGGGCCCCCCACTAACTGGACACTTTTATTAATTAATTTTCAGTAGTTTACCATTAAGATTAATAATAAATACATTTATTTTTTGCGCCCGCGATTCCTAATGTGAAGGCCAAAGCGAACATCTGCCCCTCCCCCGCCCCCAAATATAGAAGTCAAACTCTGCCTATGGATGCGGGATAAGGAGAGCAGTTGGTGTGCTTTCCAAAAACACCCACGGCACTCCGCATCATATACAGTACTTTGGTTCCCTCTCCGAGTCTCCCATCACGTTACCCCTGCCCGCCTGCCCGTCTACCTAAATATAGGACGGGCGATGAAGTTTTGACCAATCTCCCCGAGACACGTATGTGGCGAGGCAGACGTGTTTGGCCGTGTTGCTGGCGACTCTGAAGCTGTTATTGACGTGTTGCTATTTTTGTTTTAATCTGTGGCCGTAAAAAAATAACATTCAATCCGTTATTACACAACAGTCGCATCAAGAGGTCATCCTCATCACCACCACCACCACCATCGCGTCATTCCTTCTGCTGGATCCTGCAGTTGATACCCAGTGTTTGAGGCCCACTCATACAGTATCACCACGACTCCCACTAAAAGTCAGGTCTTCCCATTGTTACGCAGTCAACGTGTCCTTCAAGGAGCACTGGCCATATTATCCCAACTCGAGATGGTGTTTCCCCACGCTGTGTGAAGAGTGATTTGGCACACATGCGCCGTCAGATTACTGTTTATTTTCTGTATTTTAGGCTTACGTTAGGATGATGTAAACAAACTACGTTAAATTGTTTACTTTGTGCAGACATTGGTGATCTAGCTGAGACAATAATACTTATTTTAAAAACGGTGCTTAAAACATGTCAATCATCCTATATATTTATCACCGAAAGATCGCTTTGACCATATTAAGTCACACCAACATTTAACTAATTTCATAACTTGTTTTAATCACAGGTGGTTGAAATCTGGACTCAAACCCCTACTCTCAGGGATGCTGGCTCACTACCCCGATACGACCATTATGAGCCCCCCTCCTCGAGTCAACCGGCCTGTTACAGCTAACAGCCGAAGGTAAATGCGCAGCCCTGCAATTTCCTTCTCAAGCCACACGGCAGAGGGGTCTCCACTTTAGGGAATCCCCGACATCCCCTCTAGAGGGTGTTTGACCTGCTCTTCCATGGTGGAACGTACCCACATTTTGTCCCACCACATGCGAACTACCAATTAACTTTTTTTTTTTTTGTGCCGGGTACTGGGGCCGTTAACCGCCCCCCCCCCCCCCCGCTATATAGCTCAGACCCACTGAGCTATATAGCGCTTTTTCAGAAGCGACCTGCCCACAAATGATAGCTCCACTAAGTGGCTTATCATGTTAACATTAATAGCAGCCAAATAATCTAAACGCATGTTCCTAAATATGGAGGGAAAAGCGGGAAGACCCGGAGAAAAATCCACGTGACTGCAAACTGTATACATATAGGGTCGGGATCGAACCCACGACCTCCTGTATACCATACTAGAGAGTTAAAATTTCGCCACAGTGGCTAACTTTGGTGTGCCCATTTATACTGCCGTCTGGACAAATTTCAACGGCTGTGGCAGATTAAATCAAACCGACGGCCTCTGGATTACAAATCAGGCATGCAAACCATCACACCGCTGCACTTAACAATCAAAAATCCAACCCAACTGCTGCCACTGAGCATTTGGCGAACGTAGGTTAGGTCACCACCATACCTTGAGAGTTCATTGCAGGGCACGCATCCTGATCCTCGCTCTCCCGCGAACTTGTCAAGATTCCGACGCTAGTACCTGGGGGGGGGGATAAGCAGGCGAAAAAGGGCTTCTTTAAAGACGATTGACCCTACGCTGGGCGCGCTCTGGCCCCGTGTGTGGCTGTGTGCTCAGCTACTTGTTGCTGGCGCCGTCTGATGCGGCGTCGTTATATACGGACCACGGGACGCCTTGCTTTCTGGGCAATCTGGACCGCACAATCCCGGCACGTCACGTGTCTGTGTTATGCGTGTGCGCGTCCACACTGGTCCGGGCATGTGTTTATACCGAGTGTTTATTTTTCCAGCGCGTGGTTGGGAGTGGAAGTGACGCCGTCGGATCATCTCAGTTTTGTCGCCAGTGATGCGTTTATTTATAGGGGCCAACTTCGCCGTGCGCCTGACATTTGAGATCCTTGCAGAAATTCTCAGAGGCGCCCACTAGAAGTGGAGGCGAAGGAAACAACAGTGCGAGGGAAATAAAAGACTGCGGAGACGGGACCGCGTGTGCCCTGTGTGGTGCTCGGTATCAGTCTCAGGGAACGTCTCGCCGAGGAAGCCATCTGGTGTAGCAATCTCCCGTCGTAGCTATGCCACGAGGTGTTGTTTTGTTTTCCTCACACAGCGCATGGGAAACTTGAACGATGTACTGAAGCTCAGCACTGTGTGACTGACTTTACAATGTTTTCAACTGCTTGACGTGGTTCTTTGGTTTTTTCGGTAAAGTCACGTATAAAAATAAAATAATAAATTAAATAATAGCATACGACGTTTCGATTGCAACACAAGCAATCATCATCAGGTATAATGAAATAGCGACATAGAATATAACCAGAAAACTATAGACAGACATATAAGCAGACAGATATCACCAAGATACATAGAGAGAGCAACCCAGGTACAGAGAGAGGTGATCGTCTCTGTGGGGTGGCCTTAAATAGACAGAGGGGGGCGGAGGCAGAGAGAGGGAGGGGGTAGGGAAAACATTTACATGTCAATGAGTACGAAGGGAGGGGAGTAAGGTAAGCAGGCTTAGAGGGAGACAGAACACACTAAATTAAATAACCTAGCAAAGTATCGAAATGTTATGTAAAACGACACAGAGAGTCGGTCAACACACAATTAACGCATTGCCTGGTCGATTACGTATTTCAAAGATTGCTAAGTTAGAATTTAAGTGTGAAAATTCCAAAGAAAGACAAAACATAAAAAAGAGGAACGGAGACACACAGACAGAGCAGAACCTAAGAACGATACAAAACGAGTGTAGACAGAGAAAATTACACTAAATATACAGGCAGAGAGAGAGAACAAGAAACCCAGAGAGGGAGAAAAAGGTAAACTTGGAACTTCCCCGTAGAAGTGGTTCAAGTGGTTCAAGATTGAACCACTTCTACGGGGAAGTTCCAAGTTTACCTTTTTCTCTCTCTCTGGGTTTCTTGTTCTCTCTCTCTGCCTGTATATTTAGTGTAATTTTCTCTGTCTACACTCGTTTTGTATCGTTCTTAGGTTCTGCTCTGTCTGTGTGTCTCCGTTCCTCTTTTTTATGTTTTGTCTTTCTTTGGAATTTTCACACTTAAATTCTAACTTAGCAATCTTTGAAATACGTAATCGACCAGGCAATGCGTTAATTGTGTGTTGACCGACTCTCTGTGTCGTTTTACATAACATTTCGATACTTTGCTAGGTTATTTAATTTAGTGTGTTCTGTCTCCCTCTAAGCCTGCTTACCTTACTCCCCTCCCTTCGTACTCATTGACATGTAAATGTTTTCCCTACCCCCTCCCTCTCTCTGCCTCCGCCCCCCTCTGTCTATTTAAGGCCACCCCACAGAGACGATCACCTCTCTCTGTACCTGGGTTGCTCTCTCTATGTATCTTGGTGATATCTGTCTGCTTATATGTCTGTCTATAGTTTTCTGGTTATATTCTATGTCGCTATTTCATTATACCTGATGATGATTGCTTGTGTTGCAATCGAAACGTCGTATGCTATTATTTAATTTATTATTTTATTTTTATACGTGACTTTACCGAAAAAACCAAAGAATAATTCCTGCAGTCACGAAAGCTCCAAAATTAAGATTGCTTGACGTGGCTTGTGGTTATTGGGTTTTTTTGTATCTTATTTGGTAATGACCAATTATATCGGGGATGCTTTGGTTAAATCACCGGACATTGCTAATATTAATACAATAATCATCCCTCAGATTTGGATGCAGTGAGCTCAACGTTCATGAGTGTTGCCAGATCTGGGTGATAAACAAACTAAAATGACGGATGTAGATTCTCAGAAAACAACAAAATGTTCCCAAATCAGCCACCTTAGCAAAACAGGACATCAGTTAAATATACTCTGGCGTCATTCGGAAGAGTAGGCCATTGTGTGCAATTCCAGAGTTCAAATGTGCCAATTGTGATTATACACTGCAGGAATCATCGCCCCCCTACTGCCAGATCAATGCCCCAGGTCACTATTGCAAATTAGACTCCTATCCTGCTCTCTTGGAGTATATCCTGGTTTAACAAAATACATTTGAAACGTGAAACCGCCTGACTTTAGGTCGAGATGTTATCTCCCTCACCAGCTATGCACGAGGAGCTGGGTTCAAACCCGGACCCTGGCGATGCCTGTTGTATATTTGGAGTTTCCGTGATCTCTCTCCCCCTTGGTGATCACGTGGATTATTATCTGGGTCCTCCGGGTTTGTCCCCCTCCACATTTAGAAAGACGCGTTTAGTTTATTTAGCGGCTACTATAAATTCTCACATGTGATTTAAGCCACTTTGACGAGCTATCATATGGGGCCAGGTCGCCTCTGAACAATAGCTAAGAGCTCAGTGGACTTCACCTGGTAAAATATATCTACTGTACAGTATATTAATCTACTTAACGTCTAGCAGTGTCATGCGAAATTTGAAATCGCTCAACGGGTAGAATTTACAGACCTGTGATGTAAAACTAACATCTTTATGTTATAAAAAGAAACGTGGGTTTGATCCAAGAGAGGGCCACATCAGTGGTGGTGGTGGTGGTACGTGATAAGCGATTCTCGCGGTACGTGTCGAGCAACTTCAGTGTTTGTAAGAATTGTGGGTTGCTGCAAGATGCCCAAGTAACACCAAGCCATGCTTAACGTTGTTAAGATTCAGTGTAAATGCCAGCCGATGCAACAGCCAAACTAAAACAAGCCATCGAAGACGCTGAAGTCAGCGGGAGAAACGGCCTGAATCCGTTTAAACTGGGTGTCTTAAGGCTCTTATCAGAGCGGTTACACCCTGTTACCAGCAGGGGGCACCGTTGCCTCTGTTGCAGTGTTTCTCACACTTGTTTGACTCGCGGACCACTCAGCCGATGGAAACATTTCCGTGGACCACCCAGCCCCACACCCCTGGTGACAAAACGCATTCACTTACCTCTCTCAATACCACTCATGCTAAATGGTTAATATTGCCGGAACATAAATATGTTTTTTACACGCAGTGATAAGGTGTTTATGCATTTTTATGGGGAGTATTTAGATCCTAGGCGCCGTCCATAAATGACCTCACGCGATTTTGGCCGATTTTTGACCCCCCCGTCCCCCCCTCGTCACACGGCGTGACAAAAAGTCAGACCCCCCCCCCCTCAAATATGACGTAACAAAGCTCTGCCCCCCCCCCCCCTTCAAATCACTTTAAACTATTGTCATTGTAGCGCGTATTTAATGTGGCGCTGCACTGATGTTGTAGGAGAAAACATGTATAAAAAGGAGGCGTTGGAAAGCTGAAATTTAGCATAAAATTCACTTTAAAATATTCAACGTCTAACTAATGGAGAAGCAAAATGCTCCTTCATGGAATAAATAAAAGGTGACCTTAGTAAATTGAAATAATAAAATAGTTAATAATGACAATTAATCAAAATTAGTGTTGTTATAACAATTCTATTAAATTAATCTATATATATAAAATCGCAAATCTGTCTGTCTGTCGGTCTGTCTGTGTGTGTGTCTGTGTGTGTCTGTTTGTCTGTGTGTCGCCGGACCATACGCAGTTTCATTGGACGAAATGTGAGGGATTTGCGAGACGCGATTGGTCCGTTTGGTTTTCCACGGCGGTTGCCCCTGGCAACGGGTAGCGACGCATTCGCTGCGGGGTGGACGCCATTTTTAATTCCCGTTAAAAATATGCGCATGCATTAACACGCGACTCTGAGGTAAATTCATCAAAGTTTCACGTCCTCTTCACTCCCCCCCCCCCACCCCAATGTGTGCAATTACTATTATAGGGTCGGTAGATAATATAATTATAGCGATTAGACAGTATTATTGTAGCGCGGGGGGGGGGGGGTTAACGGCCCCAGTACCCAGCCTCAGCCGGGTGGGCAATTTAGGTGAGGCCGGAGGCTCTGCACGGTACTAGGCCTCGACACCCCACCCGTGTCAAGCGACGACTTTGTGGTATAAACTCGATATACCCAGCGTTGCCCGGGGGGAAAATACATTTAAAATCTTCTGAAAACTTTCAAACATTACATAACAATGAAATCTGTGTATATATGTAAGGTTATTAAGAAATATATTTTTCACCCGGGCAACGCCGGGTACTTCTGCTAGTATTTATTTAAAGTTGCGCATTTTGATGTGACGTCACATTTCTCAAACCCCCCCTCCCCCCTTGTCACACATCGTCACAAACATCTGGACCCCCCTCCCCCCCTAGGTGCGTGACGTGATTAATGGACGGCCCCCTAGGGTTTGGGTAGTTTAATCAGGGTAGTTTCCCCAACTTCATTTTTGTTGTTAAATATCATGAGTAAAATATGCATTAATGTGCCAAAAAAAGTTAGAAAACATTGCCATTATTTGCGGATCAACCTGCATTTGCATTACAGCCCCGCGAACTACCTGGAGGAGCGTCGCGCGCCACACTGAGAACCACTGCGCTCTTCTATTCTTGCGTCCGATGGCAGCAGAGTTCACGAGCTAAATGCCAATGTCGAGGTTTGCGAGCCACAAGGAGAGTGCGTCATGAGACAGTTTTTGTAGTTTTCCTCCATGGATGCAGCACAGACTACAGCGGTGGTTGTACGTGTATGTAGAACTTTTTGCACCGTGTGTTTGCCAACCGTCCTAATCGATCAGTTTTATAGTTTGGATTGCATGACCAGAGTTGCACTACTGTGGCTTGTCTTTAATGTAATGTATCTCATCTGGGTCTTCATTTATCTCTATGAATCTCTATGGGTTTACTGTGTGGTTCATAGTTTGGGGTGTATGGCCACAATCGCAACGACTGTGGTTGTCTTTAATTTTCCATTTAGATGTGTGGATCGGCCTGGTTATGTTCTAATGCGGTCGATGGTTGCACCAAGCCAATGGCTTAACGTAGTCACCAAGCAACAGCCGTTCACGACTGCACGTACCATATATTTTTAGCAACAGATTTGAAAACACTGTAGATTACAGCGCAGGAATCAAAAGGTCAGATCCCGAGGCCGCTTCAATGAAATAAACCGGACATTAACTCCCAGGGACCGAATTGCCAGTGTTGTACAAATGATGTGCAACCCGAGGACGCCGCAGCTATTAACGCAGCATCCACCATCACCGTGCTCAAAGCCACCAAAGCGAGACTCACCATCGGAGGCTGCGAGTTTAACTCGATCAGTGGTGGAATCGGCACCACCACTCTGCGGAAGTCATCAGCGGTTGTCCTGCGTGGAAATGAGTCCCCGCCACGGGACTGTGGAATTTACACGGCTGGCACAGTCAGGGCTGCGACTGCAAATGAGCAGCTTTCATTCTTTGGGGCGTCTGCTGTCCCTGCAGATCCGGGGAAAGAAGCCGAGTCTCGTGGAGAATAACGTCCCCCTGCAGATATCCATCCCAACCATAAACCCAAAAACACTCAACACATACGTTAATAACACGGCCTTAAAAGGAAACATAATAGGTGACGTTTCGGGAAAGGTCCCTTCTTCATTGCATATGCGTTTATTTGCTACGAAGGACCATTGCCTGAAACGTGCACACATCTGGGAGGGAGAATCTTTACCGGAGTTTAACTGAAATTGAGTCTTCTTGGAGAACGTCAATTGACCTGAGTGCTGAGGCTTTATAAAGTTTAAGGCCCACCCATCTGTCATGGCCAAACCATGTGTAATCGCGCACTAGAATGGTAATAGATCGAGGAAATACCCACACGTGCGAGGATCTTAACAAGGTCAGCAGACACAAGCCCGCTTGTTGTACTGCAATTTCCCGGGAAACTCGCCGTCCAGTGGGTTTGTAAATATCACAAGGTCATGCGATCAACCCACCCTTGCCCGCAAAGCTCTGGAATGTAGTGGGATGTGTGCCACCACTCCCAAAGACGCACAAAATAAATACAGACGTGGCCCGTGGTCGTGCAATATTTTTTGAGTTTTATTTCTCGAGCAATGAGTGAGGGGCGCTGATGTCAAAGAACAAGGCTCAGCCATTAATCGCGTGCGCCACTGCGTCTTTGCAACTTGCGCGGCAACCCTCGCACTTTAAACAACCGCGTGGGCAGCCAGTGGCACTCACAGACATAAGAACCACATCTTCATGGTTCTTTCGGTAAAGTCACGTAGAAGGGAAATAATAAAAATAAAACATAATAAAATACAATTCTCACGACGTTTCGGCCACAACGCAAGCAGTAGGTGAAGAACAGGTCTGTCGGAAAGACAGTGTCAGACACTGTCTTTCCGACAGACCTGTTCTTCACCTGACGGCTGCTTGCGTTGTGGCCGAAACGTCGTGAAAATTGTATTTTATTGTTTTATTTTTATTATTTTATTATTTCCCTTCTACGTGACTTTACCGAAAGAACCAAGAAGATGAATCCCTGCAGTCACGAAAGCTTTAAATCTAAATAAGAACCACAGTGAACTGTTACTGGAGCCATGGTGGTAGGCGGCAGAGTCGGAATTAAGAAACAGCCCAGTTCATAGAGATCACGGGAAAACCGCAACGTCCTTGTTGGGGGTGAGTCAAAAAGGCCTGAATACAATTGTTTCAGTTACAAAAGCTGATGCTAGAGCTGTTGCTGGCCATTGGCTCAATTGACAGAGTTCACTGATCAGATGTAAACGATGTGAGCTGATGCCCACAACTACAGGACTGCACGGCGTAACCCAGAACACCGCCTCAGGCTCCCGTGCAGATGTTACAGTTGCTGCTGTTATTAAAATCAAGTGAGTTTTAAGTAAGGCTCAGTTGGCCGATTCGTCACGTAATCTCAATCTTACCTACACCAGATCTAAACATTAGTCGCGTTGCCTTTAAAACCAGCGGAATCACATCATGGTCGCCAACATCATCGTTATCGCAACAAAGCACATTTCGCTTTCAACCAGTACAGATCAACGAGATTATCAGACAACGTTCCCTTGTGCGCACACACACGCGTCGTGCATTTGTTGTTACTCACTCAATGCTAAAGATTCAAAAAAACGCACAATTGCTTGCAAAAACAACGCAAAAGGAATACATTTTCAAGGGAAGCGTTGCAAAGCTTGAACAAATTCACGCGACGTGATTTTTGTAAAACAGCTTTGTTTGGCGGAAATCATCTGTTGTTGAAATCACTGCTCATCACAAATTAACGAAGCAGTTTTAGTTCAATCGTCAAATTTAAAGCCAGCATAACTTCTTCACCTCTTATTCTAGACTGTATACACCACACACGTACATATAATGGAGTAAAATTGTCTCCATGATAAAACCGAGCATTAGTCGGTGCTCATCTCTGCTGTTCATGAGCCAGTGGTATGACATTCCATGTTATTATGGCAGGGTAGAGTCATTTCAATGACAGACAGCTGACGTCGCTGAATGAAGTGGCACTGGTTTAATCAACCCTGGAAGTCCAATGGTCGGCTAAGTTGACCCCAATTCGACCCCAACTGAAATTTTAACAGAGTACATTCTCAGCTAATATAAGATGTTGGCCTTTAGTGTCCACTTCAAAGCAGATGGAGCCGTTTGGTAAATCCTGTGGGGCTGTATCAGGAACCATACCTTCGATGCAAATTGGCTCTGGTAAGCGTTCTAACTGCTGGGACACCCAGCCATCCAGAATATCCTGGCTTGAATATACCACTGACATATGTAGTGTGTATGTTTGACATTGGCTATATTTACCAAAAGATTCATACTAAATAAGTCGAAGTATTACGTTTCCATTCACAAAACAGCTTCGCCATCAAAACTTTAGTCGTGCTTTGCAACTCTTGCCTTTAAAATATTCCAAGGCTGTTTAGAGGCTTCTAGTAAGCAGCCTCCTATTTTGAAAGTCTACATTTAAAAAATTAAATTAAGAAATATCGGAACATGTTGTATAAATAGTTGTGGATGTGCAGTACCGTGGCTCATTCAGTTTTATTTTTCATTTTTAAAGGAACCATAAACAAGGCACAAGAAATACTCCAGGGCAGCCATCAACTTTGACGACACAAAATGTCTGCTTTTGACCAACAGGTGTTCAACGACATGGTCTTAAAATGTACCATGAACTTACGTCAAACACCAAGGGAAGCTTATAAAAAAAACATCTCCCAGGCTAAGTGTGTTTAAGGGACTCAGTTCTATCCAAGAGTGTATCTAAGATGCCCTCTGGCAATTTTATGCGTGTGAGGCCGTTCCAGATTCCCAAGTCATTTTGGGAATCTATAAACACATGGCTATATTTTACACCTCACTGTGGTATTAGTCATGTTGTCCGATGGAGATGTTATCTTCCAAAACACCTACAGGCGGCAGAGCCTCATGTCATGTCATGGAACGGCTCCGGAAGTTGACACTGCAGAACTACTGAGTCACTTTAACTGCTCCTCAAATCTAACACTAGATGGCACTCGTTAATGCTCTGTAAAAGAGTGGTCTGTCGAATGCTAATCATCCAAGATATTGGTCCACTTTAGCCTCCAAATTAGGGCTACGCCGAAATAAGGAGTAACATTTACACTGGAAGATGTTTTTTGTGTTCATTGATGACTGGGTTAAGACCACCAAACTTTCTACACTTGAGATGGGGTGTTTGATCACGGGTGGGAGCCGGGGTTTTGAACCAAAAATCTCCGACATTGCCATTACAGTCCCATGAGCCGTCTGGCCACCTCAGCCACATTAAAAATTCAACCTAAAAAGAAACGTGTGGCCCATTGCCAGACATAATATATCGGCATAAGGAACGTAAAACGAGCCATCTCATGTTTATATTCAAATTGAGGTCAATCCATTGCTCAAGCCAACTGTGCTAAATCCATAGCCGTTACCACCATTACCAATACTTAAAGCACCCACGTGTGCTATTGGCTTGGTCAGTGGCACGTGCAATATGGCATCCCTCGATTGTGCATTACTGGTGGCTCAACCCATGCCTCGCTTTGTTTCGCTCCGCACGCAGACATTTTGCAGTCGAGGGCACCAACTGGCAGCTGCCAAGGGCTTCTCTCCATCACAGATATTTAAGGTCCAAGCCTTAACACTTGGGAAAAAAAAAACAAGAGCTTCCGGCACTGCACTCCAGACGGCCAACGGCTACCAGTTGCAAGTCGGGACGTTCGCACACTGACGCCGCGACCGCGATTGCACTTACGCCCATTGGCAAGGTCGATACACAAACACGTTTCACGGTTAAATGAAGATTCGGGGGGCCCGGTCCACACGCGGCACACTGTTACAGGGCGAAAAACGGGAGTCGCCGTCGATCTGGGTGGCAACATAATGCTACAGTCCTGGGGTACAAAAACGCAATAGGCGTGCGCAGCTTGATTGCCTGGCCCCAGACGTCTGGCAATGACACCGGAACACGATGGCATATGAAGTGACACTGACCTAGTAAGGGACATCACATCGTTACCTCGTTGCCCAATACCAAACGACGATCAGAGCCAATCGCTAGCTTGAACAGGCGGTCCGTCAAATGAAAATCGCTCTGTATAGTCGCTACGTGTAGACCGGGTTATTATAGTCTAACACGCAAAATATGCAATGGTATGTTTATCTAACTAAATTAAGGCCCGCCGCACACTGCATACCGGCAGCTGCTAATAAACGGGATGGAACAAACGATCTCGTGGGTTCACACAGAGAATTGGGGGCCACTGCAAAGGATCGTCCCAAAGTATAACGGTGCATCCTCCATCGGAGAGTTTCATAACGGCTGGATGCGCAAGAAGGTAACGGTGCCCGCAAGCACCCAGGGCTGCCCTTGGCAATTGCCGGGGAGCCTGGGTTCGAACCAGCGAACCCCCTCACAGACGCACAGAGTGGAGGAGCCACTTTGTCCGAGCTGTGGTGAAGCTCCCAGATTATTCCGGGGCAGCACTGGTGCACGCAGGATTGGCTCAGGCCCTAAGTAACGGTCTCATCAATTGGACACGACCAAACATGTAGGGATGAATTTGTGGTGGCTGGACATCCCCACCTAGCACTGGGTCAGTGCTGTGCTGGCGTTTATAGGTGCTCGCTAACGGCACTTGCCCCTTCAAGGCTAAACAAGAGATCTTTGTGTGTTTGTGAAGGTGCATTTACGTGTGAGAATGTTTATATTTGACGTATACTGTACATGAGCGAGTATTGTATGTCTCTGTGTGTTGTATGTGCATGTGTGTATGTACGGCTTGTGCGCCTGTCTGATATGTCAGCAGAGTACGTGATTCACTGTGATGACAGACTTTAGTGTGGGAAACCTTGCTCTCACGGGGACCTCACAATTGAGACATTTTTTTACATACAACTGGCAGAGAGAGCAAGGATTTTTTTCGTTCATAATAGACGTTTTTTGGGTTAGATCGCGTAAATGTGTTGTTAAACCCGCCACCACCCGACAGTCAATTAGTAAGGTACATAAACAAAACATGCCAATTCGTTAGTAAGTCCCCACAGGTGTGCTGCACTAGTAACTAATTGGCATGTTTTGTTTACATGACAAACCTTTCTAATTGGCTGTCGGGTGGTGGCGGGTTTAATAACACATGTATACGTATTATGGATATTAGTCACAAAAACCTACGTGTTAAGCCGATTCTTTCGTTTGTTTACATGGGCCATCCAATCATCAAGCACGTTTACCCTCTCTCCTTAACCCAGCTCGAGTAACGCACCCTGCTTGTTGGGACGATGACAGTGGCCTCCATCCCTCCACAGCGGAACCCTCGGTCAGTAGCGTTCATTCCCTATCATCTCATCAAACAGGTTGGATTACACCTCACTAACCCCTACCTCGTGGGGTTTTTAAGCAAGCTACCCAACTTCACGTTTGGGCAAGTTGTGCATCGTTTTGTTCACTCTTTGATGCATGCAGTGGACAGGGTGTGATGCGTTTAAACGTTGGTGGTAATGTATTAGTTTTTTTTAAACGCACACAGCTAATCCGCAATAATCCCCATTTCCCAACGTGTTCTTCCCTCGCCCCGAATTCTCCCAAACACCCCCAACATTTTGAGGTGTAAATTAATGTAACAATAGCTTAAAGATCCTGCTACGATTCTCCGGGAACCACCGTGCCCCGTAAGTAAATGCTACGGTTACCACCTGATACACTTTTAATTCCTACAAACACCTGCACAAACCCGGGTGGGAGAAACTTTACCGGATTTTAACTCAAGTGGGGTTTTCCTGGGCCTCTGCATTTGACTTCCAAGAAATTAAGCCGTTTGAAGAGGCAGCCTAAGCCAAGACAGCATTCGAACCTCATCCCCATCAATAAGGCACTGAGTTCCAACCACCGCTTGCTGCACCAACACAGCATCACCGGATAAATGGGAGTCAATCAAAACAACTGCGCGAGTGATAATGGCTAGGGTGGGTAAACGGGGGCGGGGGTAGGGTAGCTAAGGAAACCGTAGTCAACTCACAACGCGTAGGTTTTCGCAGTTATAGAGCTCTCCCAACATGTTTTTGGGTGGTGCCGCGCACTGTTTGGCACCACGTACGACAGTTCTCTCCACGTGGCCGGAGGAGCTTCTTTATGCAGTGTATGGTAAACCTATGATGTCCGACGTTTCACAACACTGGCTGGCAGCTTCTTCAGGAACAGACTGAAAAAGCTCCCAGCACATGTACCGAAATGTTGGACACCGTGTCGGACAGCATGCAGCATGACCCGAAAACACTCCGGAGAGCTCCAGTTATCTTGTGCTCTTCGCTTCTTACAATTGCTACAGCATGGGTCCAATTGCCTGATGCCAATTAATACCAGCGTACACCCAAATACCCGCATACACTCGTCCTGCTCATGATGACCCAACCGGGGAAAGGGGGGGCAACAGTAAACCATAGCCCAGGGACTCCGATTCCCCCGCACGACTTTTACTGTGGCCACCGCGAGCGAACTCATGGTGCTGCCACTCAAGTTGCAAGCAGCGGCGCGGAGCGAGAAACTCACGCTCGCTGACGCTGTGGCTCCCAGCGAGCACCGGGGTTGCTGACGGCTTCACAATCAGCACCAGGGTAGATATGTAGTTGAAGAGATGGGATAATTTGTTTAAATTATAGAAATGTTGTCTTTTCTCTGAATTTTTGCCAGACTGTGTTTCATGTCAAGAGACAACAAATCCGTGTGAAACTGCTGTACAGAGTTGCATCACCCTGTGTTCAAAGAATGGTCAGCGCAAGAAGATATCACAGAACTATTTCAGGTGAAATCTCTCTTCAGGTGACCTACACTCGGGCGCAAACAATACTAGAGCAAAATTGTCGGTGCTTGGCAGTCAACTGATATTTATCATTCTCAAAAGTTAGAATTTACCTGAAATTCCATATTAAGTTGACCAGTCCGAGACCACCAACTCATTACACTTGAGAAACTGCCTCCGAGGTTGCCGCCAGGATTCTAACCCACGGCCTCAGCGTTGCCAGCATAGTACTCTGACCTCGAAGCCACCTGGCCACCTTGAGATATGGTAATTTTCAATTGCCAGGTAGCCGAGAGGGAGGGAAGTGATAAGCTTTCATATGAAACTATTGGAATGACTGCCTTAAATCATTCGTAAGAGTCCATGACAACAAAGGTTTTGGAGATTACCATTATGCTGCAGCAGGGAAGGGCTAGCACCAATAAATTAACAAACCTTTAAATCGTAAGCTCCTATCTCCAGCAAATAGTCAACAAGTGCTACGTTCCCCAATGCCTTTATGACAGCATGCACCACTCACCTCCTCCAGTCTACTGCCTCGCTTTCTCTAGTCATCTGTCATTGCCATAATACTGACCCCAAATCTGCACCTTGGATATGTGCATTGGTGTCTCATGGTTTCCTGGTGGTGGTTAGGAGAGGGGATTGGCCGAGCAGGGGGGGGGGTTTAAAGATCCGGGCGTTTTGCATCGATTGTGAAGGCTGCGGAATTGCTTGTGAATACGGTTGGCTTTTCGGGGAGGAAGTGTGGGTTTGAGAGACGACAATTGACTGAACTTACAAGGGTCCATTAGAATCATACGTTTGGATTAAGGTACAGGTCAAGTGTCCATACCTGTTAACCCCCCTTATCAGTGCCTAACCTTATTGTAGACCACTTCAGACCTTATTGGTCACCCCGTGCCCTAATAAATCTCAACATTCATCCTACAAAGTCCCATCACAAGGAAGAAACACAAACAAACAGATTATGTTTTTTGGCCGGAATTGAAACGGCTGTACGCCGTATGGACTTGAAAACTAAATTTCCCTGTACAAGAATATCGGGTAAACTGTATGGGTTGACAGGTATGAGTGTCAGTCTTAAGTTCAGGTTTAAGGTCAAGGCTCTGGCCTAATTGGAATTGCAGCTGCAGTTTTAAGTCAAGGGTACGGTCAATGACATTATGTATAATAAGCTCAGGGCTAATTGGAAGATAAGGTTTGGTCACGGTGCATGAAACAGCCTAAGGTCGTGATTTTCATTTATTTTGTAATGTGAACCAGTTGCAGTAAGCCAAGAAAAAAAATTACTTACTCTGATTTATGCAACTGGCCACAGAACTGTGGTTAATGTCAAGGTTAGGGTCACTGATGTCACTTACTTTAAAGGTTATGGGTCGGATTTAGAGAACAATCATCAGTACAAATGTCAGGGAACGTGAAGACAAGCCAGGGTCAGGGGTCATGGTTGGTCTCACGGCATTGGGAAAGCCATGACCACCGGGCTACCACCACCACCGAGCTGGCGCTGGCGACTGCCGCTGCCCCTAGGCCTGGCAGACGACGCCCACGTCCTCGTCGTGATTGCAGTCGCTGATCTCCCAGCCGGAGAAGGCGCAGTCGGACAGCGAGCGCTCCGAGCCGTCACACTCCAGCGCGTCCATCCAGACGGGGCCCTCACCTGCGACGCGGCACACACGGCGCAAATGACGCGGTGTCACTCGCGGTAACTGTGGCTGCAGCAGCTGTGTACATCACCAGCAACGCTGATCGCCAGCCATGATGTTACCGACGACCTGATTGGCAACCGCGGCAGGATTACATGCTGCCAGCATATCTACATACGGTATTTACACCATCTCTAGAGCGTGAAGACCATTATGAGGAAGCTAGGCCTTATGCATTCAAAGCTTTACAGAATTTTTTCCGACTTGAGTCTACAGTTCAGTGACAGCCAGTTACAAGAACTCCCGGGAAACTCGCACAGATTTTTATATTAAACCTTCACGGGCAACCAACACGAGCGAACTGGCCAGGCGACCACCCCACCTGACCATCTGAAGCAGGACTGCGAGACTGTCCAGCCCACGAGACTGTGACCATGCCAGTCTACGAGACAATGGGGCTTCCAAGTCCACGGGTTCGTCTGTGCCCGCGCCCCCGCAACCCGCGTGCCACACGGCTCACCCTGTCCGTATCGAGCGCTGTCATGGAAGTTGATGGCACCACGGTGGCCGAGCGAGCGGCAGGCTACGTCCGCATCGGCCAAGTCGAACTCGTCGTCGCACACGGTGCCCCAGATCCCATTATGCAGCACCTCCAGCCGGCCCTCGTGGGGGCCTGCGCCCCCAACCAGGCGCACGCCGCACTCCGCTCCACCTGACGAGCGAGGTGTGCGGGGGGGGACAGGAACACGGTGGAGGCCGGGGTGATGGGGGATGTGGAGAACAATGGGGAGAAGAGAGAGCGTTTGAGAGATTTGTAGGATGCCACGTGGGGACCAAGGTTGAATGGAACATGGTCGAGATGGGAACGCACGGACACGCGTGTGTGATGTGGGAGTACATGGGACATTGGGATACGAACGATGTGGTGATACACGGAGACATGAAGAATGTGGGTGAAACATAGGACACACGTTAAACCCGAAGCAGAAACACCTCAGACATGAGATAAAAATTAAACATGGGGGATATCTGATGACGGGAGACACAGCTGGGTTGTGTGGGATACATGGGATGGACACACAAGAGATACATAGGACACATGAGGGACACATGGAGATACAGAAGCAGCATATTCATTGGGCCAGTGGTGGAAATTCTACTTTCCCTTTGGGGTAACAAGTGACTCCGTCAGACAACTACTGTTGGCATCACACGAAGCTGTAATTATTTTAAGATCTCGCCACCTGCCGGCTTCAGGGCACCGATGGCATAAATAAAACCACGCACACACAATACAGAATCAACACATTTCTCATCTCACCTGTTTCTCCCTTCAGCCCAGGTGGCCCTGAAATGAAGGCCAATAGCAATTAAGCTTAATTTAAATCAATGTCCACATTTCATTCATTAATTGTACTCACACGGTTAGTACCCTCCAGGGGCTCACACGGATTGGGTAAAGATCGGGGAAGAAGCCAGCATGCCGAACAAACGCGTGCATGAAACAGCAGTTGAGGCCTATGAACACCCGGATGCAAACGGACTGTGTTTTACAGAAAGGCAGTGGGTTTTTCTGCAGCACAGCCGATGGGCCAGGGGGTGCATCTGGCGAGAGGCACGGTTGGGGAATGTGCTGCAAACAAAGCAGGCAGCGCTGGAAGCAGGGAAACCTTACTTCTGTATAGTAAAACATGTTGTCTTTCGGTGGTCGAAAACACATCAGGGGATTTGTGTCACTTGCGCAAGAGATGGATTAAATGCATCTTCAAAGTTGATCATTTTCATTGTTTTACGAGTAAAGTTACACTTGCAACTAGGGTTGAGACTCAGGAATGCGTTGATGTTGTTTTCCAGCTGAGTCACCCTTTTAAAAGAGCTTCTTAGCTCAATGGGGCTTCACTCGGGAAAATTCATTTCTGATTCAGACTTCCGATTCTGAACGTAATTTCTTACTCTTGTGAATGATGAGGTTACATGGCCTTTAATAGTCCACCTCACAGCAAACATCATGCTTTGGTAATTCTTTGCATAAATTGCCAGACAATGGTAGTGGGAATCAAACCATCAACTCCATATAAACTTGCAAGTGCACTCTGACCACAAGGCCCAAGGCTGTACTGTTGGCATCATCTTACCATGGAATTCAGATAAATGTCAGATCCTCAAACAATGTCTCTACTCGGATGCATTGTTATTTTTAAACCTATAGCTTCTCGTCAGAAAAAAAATATTCTTTGCACTGAAAAACAAAGACAATTTGCATCCACGCCTTCAAATGCTCTCAAAAGTGGGAAGCTTGAGTTACGCGATGTGAATATGGGAGTGGAGGGAGGCAAAGATGAAAAGGGAAATAAGATAAATGAACAAATATCCCTATAGAGCAATGTGCTTAACCAGAAGGTAATGGAGACACACTGATGTAGGCATTCATGTAACGGGACATTGCACTGCAATTATTTAACGAAACCACCCACTTGCAGCACAAAGATCGGGAGCTCCCATTGATCCTCACCATGAGTGGGCCACACGATGCAAAAAGTTGTGGTTTGAGCTGAAAGTCGTTTTCATGTATTTCGGAAAGTATCCCACCAAAATGTTTTCCATTATAATAATTAAGTGGATTTAATTCCAAAGATGTAATTATTTAATAACATTTACATCCTTCATGAAGGTTCTTAGTATTATCTGTTCAGCTTTGAAAGTGCTAAATTAAATATACTTTATTCATGGTTTGCAGCATGAACATTAACACTGTAGTTTTCACCCTGACGCTAACTATAACCATGAATAACACAAATGGAAAAAAATTATAGGACGACGCCATCGGTCAGAAGTCAACACAAAGCTCTCTCTCATTAGTCAATCTTGGTGTTGCTCATCTGCTTCAAACTCTGCCCATCGCTTTCAAAATCGAACCTAAGTCATTTCGGAGATGAATGGAACGCGATGGGGGAAAGTGTGTGGAATACGTTCTAAATCATAGGGGAAAACGACCGTTAAGCTCCCAAACCATCGTTTTATTTGCACCGCAGCTATCAAGCAAGTAGCAGTGCCACCTAGACAAAGCGTGCAACGTGCGACGCTCGGTCCCCTTACGAGTGACGCTGACGGGGATGGGCGCAATCTCGGTTTGCATGTCGACAAACTCGGCTCTATGTTCTTCGGTCACCGGTTCGAGCCCCTGTTCTGACAGCGGGGCTGTGTAAACAGGCAGAGCATTCACGTGTTTAATGTTTGTTTGTCTGTGCGTGGGTCGGTCTGTAAATTCACCCCCAATTACTTTCAAGGGCTATCATGACGCTTGCTAAGGTGGCTCCATTCTGACAGGAGGTGGCAATCCACTCCAGGCAGCTGCTGCAGTACAGATGTTGGGTTCTTTTTTAGAGAACAGTACCAACATGTTAAACAGCGCTCTATGCAAGGCACTGCTGGATCCTAATTCTACATGACATAATGTAAACGTACGACCCTTTGACACTCCGCCGCTGTTCAGTGCGGGGTTAGCAGAGGCGGGGAGCATAGAGTGGGAGCATAGTACAGTAAAACAATGGATTTTGCTGTACTGCCCTCTGCTGTCCACTGAATTATGAAAGCCTATAAGGCATCATTTCATATTTCAATCCAAACCACACATGCCAACAGTGAGAGGCATTTTGACTTAAAACTTTTGTGACTACAGGAATTCATATTATTCTTGGTTCTTTCAGTAAAGTCAGGCAGAGCGATGATGAAGACCGCTTGTGTTGCGATCGAAGCATCGTGGTTTTTTGCTTTTATTTTTTATTTATTTTTCAATATAAATTTTATTTTCATTTTCTATCTACATGACTTTACCTAAAAAAACTAAAATATAGTGAGAGGCATTGTAAAGTCAAACGCCTTTTTACAACTGGGATCGTGACTCTATGCTGCTATTGGCGTCAACAGAACTGTCACAGCTGTAGTGTACAGTTATAATCTTTGATTGTGATCATCAGCACCACAGCGTGGGCATTTCCCAACCGCAAGTGTGCAATCAGAGATTGAGTACTATTTCCATGCATGAGTGACATGCGAGTGTTTCTTGTACGTTGCAGTTTCCTCCCAAAAAAAATCCAAATGGTATTGGTAAAAAATCCCACTTTCCCAGGATCCTACTGAAAGAGAATTGTGGTTGTTATTTCTCCTGGCAAGAGAAAACTATGGAATCCTGCAAAGGCAGCTTGTTAAACTTAAATGCGATTGTTATCTACAATCCCAAGATCCTTTGTGGGCTTTCGGCCTTTTGAATTCGCTTAAAAGTTAGACTTAACTTTGTGGAGGTCTGTCTGTTTTTCTAAACATTGGCTTTCGACAATGTGATAAACACCACTCATTCATCATGAGTAATCGCATATTCAGCTAATCATGCCTTTGCCAACTGAACACAGCACAGGATTGATTGAGCATCTGCTGCTGAAACAGAGCCACCTTGACAGCTATACTGCAGTGTGTAGTCTATGAACAAAGCTTTCTGAAAAGCAAATGTTAAAACACGACATACCGTATTATGTTGGACATCACGAATTTAAATTCCTTAAGTTAAAATATTTCCACGTACGATTGATGTGTGGGACTGACGGCTTATAAGCTGTGTTATATTCCACAACTTGTTAGTAAGAGCGCTGCTCTGCGCTTGTTACTTCGCGAACGCCAAAACGACTCTCACATTGGCTCTCGTCGTGTTAGTGCTCTGCATCCAAAGCCATTACTGAGCGAGCGTGAGTGGGAATCGAATCATCCGAATGAGATTAATACACAAAGTCAACATCCGGCAAATGTTACTTTCACAGATGACAAATCCCATTAAAAGTGTCTCCCTACTCAATTAAGTGTGGGATGGAGTTAATTTCTCTTCATGATTCTGAGCCAGTCATGGAAATTCCACATTCCTATAATGGAGGGGGGGGGGGTGGGATCAGCCATTCTAAACGATGACAACTGTTGGCTTTCCACAAATTTGTAATAATTTTACGGACCACACAGCTAGAGATGGAAATATTACATCTCATGGTGGCATCCACTAGATCTTCAGGAAGATCACCATTTATTTTCCACAGAGTGGTACTCATTTTACCACCCTTGGAGCAGTGGCAACGATTGGGATGAATCAGTCCCTGAATGAGATATAAACTGACCGTCTGCCAATTGCGAGTCGGGTACTCTCACCGCAATGCCACGTCGCCTTGCGCTCACTTAGCAGAGCGCCGGCCACACACAATTCAACCCCACTCCCCATGCCTCCGAGCTACACTTCTCGTAGTCGCTACAATGGACTAGGATCCCCGTTAGATGTGGATCAGCGATTCCTTTCTCTTACCTGGCGGCCCCGCCATCCCTGGAGGACCCATGGGGCCTCGGAGTCCCATCTGTCCCTGGGGGCCCGGGAAGCCCTGGGGTCCTGGAATACAGTTGGATACGAAAGAACGTTTGTCGTCATCCGAGACGAGATACGATACGAATGCAACCACAGCTGGTTCAAAACCCAAAGGCTTGGTTTGTTGGCAGAATAAATAAATACAATAAACACTTCACACCTGTTCTTCAACAATTACGATGCCTTTAGAAAGGACATGCATAATGTTAAAATCTTGATGTTTAAAGAATTAGTGGACTTGCACATCTTATAAAATAACGATGCAAGTAAATAATAATTCTCAGCCCTTCATCAATCCACTGCTGCATGAAGGTGTCCCCCTTCCGTGTCAGTTGTGCCATTGTTATTGAATGAAACTGATAAATGTACACACGCAGCCAATTCACCGTGAGAATGCGACAGCTGAAAGAAGGACGCACGAACCCGGAGCCTCACATATCGGTTACACGTGTTCTTCAATAGAACATGAAGTTCGGGTGCCAGCCATTATGAGCTTCTTAACACGTAGGCCCTGTTTGATTGTGAAAATCCGCAGCTGCGACACCTATGCACGGTGCTGGATGGAGGTCAGCAGGTTCCTAAGTCGTTGCTCATTGCTGCCAGACCCGCCCCCCAGTGACCACAAAGCCAGTGGGCTGAGTCTATTCTGGCCACAATCACCTTGCGAAATAGCACAGCTGGCTGTGGTTTGGCAAGAATCTAAAAAAATAGCTAAACCAGTTTATTTACCAGATAAAACCCACTGAGCTATTAGCTCTTTTTCAAAGGCGACCTGGCCACAAATGATAGCTGAACGAAGTGGCTTATCATGTGGAAATTTATAGCAGACAAATAATCTAAACACATGTTACTAAATGTGGAGGGAAAAAATATTGGAGGAACTGGATACAAATTACCGCGACCACGCGGAGAACATGCAAACTTCAAATATACAGGCATCAGGGTTGGGATCGAACCCACGACCTCCTGCATACTAGGCAAGGGAGATAACATCTTGCAAACGCCGGCACCCAAATGGAGCGTCTCCCTGTTCAAGTAAGCGAATGGCAGTGTTCACCTCCAATAGCAACCCGAAGCCAGTGGTGGAAATAAAAAATCCAGTGGCGGAGGCGGCGCTGAATCAGCAGTGTGCATTACACCCACTGCCGCGCGTTATCGCGCAAACTAAAGCAGTCATTTACCTCGAACATACGGAGAGGCAGCCTAGTGGTGTGAAAACGAAGCAAAAACACGCAGTGTACCTCTCTCTCCAGCATCCCCTTTGAAACCCTGCGGTCCCCTCTGGCCAGGGAGACCAGGGTCCCCTCTGTCTCCTTTGGGCCCAGGTGGTCCTGCAGCCAAAACCATAAGATGCACAGATCCATTCGTTAAGCTGTGGGATGCTGGGTGCAGGTGTTGAGAGTGAGGGATTAGATTCGGAAGCCAGGAGGGACCGTATTCTGTGCTGATGTAGTTTCATTTAAAGGTGCGTGTGAGAAGTCTGGCAGTGGCATTGTGGACCACCTGGAGATGTAAAGAGGCAAGCGTGTGCACGCACGCAAGCCGTTACACGCGGATGTACGCACGCATGCACGCGCATCTCCCTCATCCATCGGCCCTCACCTCTCGCCAAGGTCAAGTTCACCGCTCCCGCCAGTGCGGCGCTCCAGCGGTCGACGGCGCGCACCTCCTCCACGTCGTCGCGCAGCTCCGCGACCCCGTGCCGCACGTCCCACACGGCGGCTGTGAGGTTGGCGATGCGCTCCGCGAGCGCCGCCGCCTCCTCGCGGCCTCCGTCCTGTGCGGCCCTCGCGCCGTCTCGTGCCTCAGCTCTCAGCTCCGCCAGCGCCGCGTCGAAACGTCGGGCAGCGACGGCGGCGTCCTCCCGAGCCCGCACCAGCCGCTCCTCCGTTGCCTGCGCGAGCAGCGCCAGCTGCTGCAGCCGCGTCGTACGCGTGCTCGCCGCCTTCTCGGCGACGGCGAGGCGCTCGGAGACGCGCGCCACGTCGTGCCGGAGCAAATGGACGGCGCGCACCACGCTGCCGCCGCCACCACCACCGGCACCGTCCAGGGCGGCCGCTTGCTCTGCCGGCACCCGACTGCCAGCGTCGATGGCGTAACGCGATGACAGCGAGACTGGTGGTGGAGATAACAGGGAGTGGGTTTGGGGGAGGTGATGGTGCCATCATCCGCAATTATCAATCCACTGCTGGATGAAGGCCTCCACAAGGCGTCACCATCTCTCACGATCCTACAGTGTAGTAATCCACCTAGCACCTACAGAGCCTCTGATTGGTTCAAGAGTTCAAAACAGGGTCGGTGGTTGACTTATTATCATCATCATCATATTATAATTATTTCCACTGGTGTTATTGTCAACATCCTTATATTTAGTGTCATCATATGATGGAAATAATAATCATCATACTATTTCATCAGCAAAATCAGTCATTGAACAGTCCTCTGTCATCTATGCTCCTCACCTTCAACAACCTGTATTGACCAACATGGTCAAGTATGGTAAGAGAGACCCTCATGTAGAGAGACCCTCATCCAGTAGTGGATTGGCAAAAGGGCTGTAAATTATTATCATCTTCCACTCTTTTAAAACACAAGAGGAGCCGTCCTATAGAGACTGGTGATGTGGAATTTTCACCCCTAAATTTTACTCTTCCTCTGAAGTCGAGACACAAGTAGAACTTTGTGGGAATTTGCCGCTCAACAGACACACACACTCCTCTTTTGTGAATGTTTAATTTATACCCCTAGTATGGGCGTGTATGTGTGTGTACAAGTGCATGTACTGCATATGCCTGTGTATGTCTGTGTGCCCTGCCTTCATAGGTCCTTGCTAACAGAACCTCAACAGACTTGTTAAGGCTGTACGGGGAATCTGTGTCTTCATTGTGTAGGAGTATGTACAGTATTGGGGAGTGGTGGCATGGTGGTGAATGCACTGCTCTATGAACCAAACGAACTGAGTGCGATTCCCGGCCATGACTAACATTGATAGCGAATATCGAAACCGGTCCTGAGCTTCCCCTGAAGTTGACTCAGCCTTAAGTGAGTACCTGGTGTGGTGTGTAGTAAACATCAGCACTGGGGAGACAAAGACGGCCACACGTGGTGTGCTGTTCTAGCCTTCATAGGATCTCGGCACTTGCCCCAACAGCCTGTTAAGGGCTATATGGGGGATCTTTGTCTACGTGTGTGTGTGTGTGAACGTGTGTCATACCGGTGGTGAACCAGAGTGTGAACTGCACGCTGCAGAGGAGGTACAGCAGCAGCACGGCCCACTTGAGACAGCGTGGGCTCTCCATCCCTGAGCAGCATCGCTGTCTTCTGCATCCTTCACTTCCTCCTCCCAGCTTCTGCTGCAACCTCTCTTGGGAGCCTACACAATGCGCACACACACACAGGCATAACCCCTGTATAGCCTTAACAGACTGTTGGGGCAAGTGCGGTTAACCGACACCTATCAGGGCCAACACGGCACACGAAGGAGTGGGTGGCCAGCACTTCATTTCCAAATTGTCAATATTTACACATTTGCACCAGGTACTAATTTGAGGCTGAGTCAACCTAGGGCAGGCCCTGGACTGGTTAAGATATTTTGGCTGCAAGTGGGAATCGAACTTGGCTTTCTGAGTTTGAACTAATCACTGCAACACAATGCTCCCTGCACACATGGGCCTTAATTTGAACTTTGTCTGTCCGAGTCGGTAACCCGGAAAATATTTTCACGTGAAGAATACTTCTAGCTATGGCTGTGGCTTCTCGTCACGTGCCACCTATTCCAGTCTACCACCAACCCAGATATTATTCAGTTTGAATTAGGCTGTAAATATACAATTACACACACGTTCACACACTATGTATGTGGACCTTCTCTCGCACTGTATGTAAGGGGCCGTCCATTTAGTACGTACGCAAAAATCTGTCAAAACTTGACCCCTCCCCACCTCCCTGTATGCACGCGTACTTTTTACACCCCCCACCCCCACCCCCCGAATCCTGTAGAACGGCCGATATTTAATCCACGCAGAAACGATAAAAAATTAATAATATTAACGTGTCTAAGCATACAGATAGTCCACCGCCGGACGACCATTTGAAGGCCAATGTAGACAAAAATTATCGAGGCTTCACCGCCACCCCCCCCCCCCCCCCGTTTCCAATGCATACGTACATTGTCAGTAGACCCCCCAAACGCAAGCGTACGCATTTGGGTTAACCCCCCCCCTCCCCCCTCCATGCATCCGCACTAAATGGATGGCCCCGAATCAGGAGTGCGGGGGAAGGACAACAATCGAAACACAAAGACAGTTCTAAAGAAATTCGTTTTCAAAACTCATTTACGGTACACGTGCAGCCCTGACATTTCATGCTTAGGCCACTGCTGGCAGAAGGGCCTCCACTAGAGGAGAGATCTCCTTTAAGAGGGTATTTTGGCATACTTTTTCTCCCTAGCCAGGCATCTTGGAAAAGGTGCGAGTACCCACACTTTACCCCACCACATGCCACATGTTGATGGACTAACTGTATTCACACACAGTACCGAATAGAGCGTTCACGGCTCTGTGGGAAAATAACCTTGTACGTGCTGGGTCGTTTATTTAATTATTTCAACAATAATACTGGGTTTTCATGTGCCAGTTATTTTTGTTGTAGAGCAATTGGGCTGCACATCAAATGCGCCTGGGAGAGTTAAAACAAAGTGCGGGCGGGCGATGTAAATGAACCGCCTGTTCGTGCACTCAAAACACAGAGCCACCGGTCCCGAAGTCACTGGGACGGCAGCGACGGCCGCCTCTGTGGATGTAGACGAACTCCGTCTGCCTTCGCGCGGAGACCAAATGCACCCTCCTGCCATCATCAGCCATGATCAATCCACTGCTGGATAAAGGTTTCCCCGCTCCGTAGAACATCTCTCAGTCCTGCGATGTAACAATGTGATGCTAGCAACTGCACACGAGTCGACTTCGTCGCTCCATCTCCGCGGTGGATGGCCTCTCAGGTGAGTTTCCCGCCTTGGCTTCCAGTGATCTGTTAGTCTCACCCACTGGCAATCATCTCTTACAGTGACCTGTCCTGCACGCAAAGACTACTCACTTTTCTAAACAACAAAACTCATTAAATCTACTTATGTTTCTAATGCACATGTTCCTATTTCTGTCTATCACATTAATCTCTCGGAACTTCTTTAATTTTTTATTTATTCGTTAATGTGTATGTTTCTCATCTACATGCCATAGCGGGTGATATGCACTCATTAATGAGCAAAGATAGAACACATTAATATTGTATACGTATGATTGAAACCTCTGGTTAGAGTGCTTAATTCACATTCTCAGGGGTCAACAAAATAGGAACCAAATTGTGGGATATCAACAGTGGCTGTCCCGTGGTTAGATTACACCTCCTCCCCTACTCCCAACTTACATAACAAATCTTTCCCTAATTTTCTTATCGTACTAACAGAAGCCCGAGTAATCCGCAATGAGCAATCACAGGAGGACTCTGTCTCTAAAATAATCCTCCCGGCACGTACCATTCATGATTATGGACTCCGTAGCGGAGAACTTGTCAGAGGAGCCATCATGGTCCTCTCCGGGCTGAGAGGCGAATCGTTCCCACATGGCGGCGCGCGTGTCCCTGCGTGCCGCGGTCAGTCCTTCGCAGCAAAGGGGAGAAAGATAACAGAGTCACTCAGCATGAGAGTTGGAAAATCACATTGAGATTACAATTGGCACAAGGTGTCCACCTACATACACTGTACACCTAGCGACTCAACGGAGGCAGTATTCCTCTCCTGGCTACTAGCCGCGTGCTGCCCACTCCAGTCTTCAAGTGACCGGGCAAAAAAAAGGTAAAGGTGAAAAAGGGATGCTACTGTGTGTAATAGCTAGCCCACTGGACCCAGGAGATATTCGGTGAGAACTCAAGTCGTGTATGGAGGTGTACTGGATCGATAGCACAGATGCTGATCTATTTATTGCAAAGCTGAAATTACCATAAGCATGAAATTATGCATCATGCCGGCACCATCATTGGAAGTGCGGCAGGAGTACGGTGCATTTCCGACTGCGGCATGAACCCACGGCGTCTCGAGTTGGATTTCCAGCCTTGGCCACTAAAATGAGTGGCAAGTGATATCTGAACGGGTCCTGGATTCTACTCACTTCACCACACCACACTGACCGACGCGTGATAAATTATGGTCAAGCAAAACGGCACGGAATAGGTAGGCCATTACGAAGCAGTGGATTTATGAAGAGCATCAATTTTTTTTATTAATATTTACTATTAATTCGTTTCCATTAATGATTGTACTGTTCAGCCCTGGTTATTGTTAGAACGCACACTGGCAATAGAGATGTACAATTTGCACCACTGTCTCAGGGCTGTAAACAGAGGGCCTCCCCGATGCTCACAAAAGCAGTCGCCCTGTAGATCCCCACCGTACCAGTCGCATCCACACAGTCACTGTGTACCCCATAAGGAGGAATAATTCAATTTGCTTAAATCAAAATCTATTCATACAACTTGAGTTAAGTTCCACTTTCCAAAAGCTTGCTTCTCTGTAATGATCACTATTGATACGCTGCATGTGAAATGCATGTTTAACTGTATAAAGGTCATAATACACAGATAGAACATGTTTAATTAAGATGTATACTTTTGATCCAGCTTATCAATACATGTTTTGATTGGAATACAATTCACAACGCACTACTTTTATTTAACTAAATGGCGATTATTTCCATTCGATTTTTTGTTAAAGCCTCGAACATGGAAATGACTGCAATCCATTCCTGTTCCTAATACAATACAGAGCGCAGAGTAACACTTATCATGAAACAACTCGCAATGGATACCTCCTGGCCTTGGCCCAGTGTCCTTCACGGGTCTGTCTCACGACAACTCGACTGCATCCCTTTCAGCTGTGCATTTGAGCTCGTGGTTACGCCTGCGTCTGCTTCCAAAGCTTTACCTCTTGCGGTCATGCAATTAAAACCAATTTTTGAGCACACTTGCAGCCATTGGTTATCAGGCTGAAAAAAAGAATCCGCTCTGCACTTGAGAACCTGGTTGGTGACGGAAAACCAGATTCAAACACAAGGTCTAAGCGGAGCTGGCTTGTATCTCAGATAAACATTATGAGCCTCCTATTAGCACGGTTGGCTGCGTACAGTGCGAAAGAAGTTCAACATACACACAATAAACCTCTATATAATTTAACGAATCAAACACCATTGATCATGTACTAATCACACGACAGCTTTGCACGAGGACTAGTGTAGAAGCCTCTGGAAGGACAGACACACTCGGTCAATGAGCTCTGATATATGACCTGGCCCCACTGTGTTTAGGGTACAAAACATTTCGCCAACAGCGCTTTAAGTAAACAGTCCTCAATTTACCTCAACTCGCAAGACGTTGCACAGCGCTGTAAACAATTCATGGGACACCAATAATGATGTTGTTACCCAAGCGGGGAGCACTGTACTTACAGTAGCAGACTCTAAATTACAAGGTTGCAACTTCAAAGTTCACTCGGAGGTCAACTCAGCCCATCATCCCTAGCAGAGTGAATAAAACGAGTGCCACTTTGGTTGAAAGTCAACCGTGGGTGTCTTATGGCTGGTCTGTCCCCCACACTCTTTTAAGCCAGGGAGTTGTGTACTTGACCTGTTGAGGTTATTGTAAATTTAAGAGACATTGTGAACTATTCCATCCAGATCTGGTCTATGGTTATTCTGGGGAGAACTAAAAAAAACTGGGGTCGAGTAGGAACTGCACATTTCCTCACAGGCGAGCACGTGTGCGGCTGGGTTTTTTGTTAGAAATTTACTTTCCCAAATATGTTTTGATTAACCCATGTGGTGCAGTGAAATCCTGTGGATAAACTCGCCCCCGGCCATTGGAAAGAGTAATTTCAACCACTGGATCTGGCGCTATGAACCGGATGTTATCACCACCCCATGCTCAATTGTGCAAAAAACCACTTTGACTTTTGAAAGAACAATGTGCATGTCATTGTCATGTCATGAGATAAATAAACTTATTTTCGGGATTCTCACAGCAACTGGGTGGCACTCCTTCCTACTGCCGGTCTTGCATTCAACTTGCAGAGTAAATTCCACATTTCTATGATAGGACCCTAAAGGTGGCCTAGCATTAGAACAGCATTCTGAATGCCACATTCATATGACATGATCAGTCTGTCATAAGTCAACCACCGTTGATGTCCCACAAAGTGGTACTGATTTTATCAACCCCTACAAATGGATGATGATTCGTCGAGTCAACTCCCGACTAGGATAAACTTGCAATTTTCCCACTGTACAACCACGTGGCCAGATTGCTCCTTGAACAGCTGCGACAGGGGAAACGTCAACGAGAATTAACCAGAAAGCCCCCAATCCCCCTCCACTCCATCCACATCCTGGATTTTTTTGTGTGTATGGAAGCGCTGGACTTAAATATCGCCCCGCTGCGGCTGCGGACGTGCAGGACGGGCGTACAGTGGAAACAAGGCAGCCCTTGGCATGTCCGCAAGAGTGTGACCTCAGGACACGAGCACAACTATCATCCGCCGCGCTGTAGTAAAAGCTAAGGTTCCCCTGTTACTCTGCTGTAGATAAGGCTGCCACTGGGTCACCCTGCCAAGGTCATTTCTAATTGTACTGCACATTGGTCTTATCTTAAAGGAAATTAATGTCGCGCCTTAAACCAAGACGCTTTACAAAGAATTAACAATGGTAAAACATATGAATGTAATGGTGGTAAGGTGAATGAAATAAAGAGGAAGCAATGGGCGAATCTGTGATGTGTGAATTCGGTGAAAGGGAAATTAATACCAGTAAATGATGATGGATTGATGATTGGGGAATGAGAATGTGAAGGGGGAACAGTAACGGTGGTGGTTATGACGGGGAGATTAAGGGGTCGTGGGAGCAGAAACTAGTAAGCGAAGGTGACTTTAATGTTGGACAGGAAGTTTGATCGAGTGAAGGGGGTCGAGAAGAGAAGCTGATACTCGCGTGCGAGTGTCTCTGTATTTCTAAGACTTCGCCACTTGTCTTCTACAACATTCACAGCCTCCAGAAACACCATGGCTGTCATGCGGGTTAGTTGACCATACTTCATTACACTGGTCATCGCAGGTTGGTAAAGGAGGGACTCGGGACTGGTTCAGATATCACGTGCCACTGATGTTAACCATAGCCGCAAACGATCTGTTTCTGGGTTTACAGTGCAATGTGCTAACCACTGCGCCACCACTCCCCTCCCCCACTTCTGTTCTTAAACAGTGTGGAATGTAGGTGGACATGCAGATAGTAGGCATGTAATAATGGATTGATGCAAATGAGGCACCAAAATATCAACCAAGGTCAATCCTCACGATACACGCATCAAATTGAGTGCGTAAGACTCGACGACGTAAAAGTTATTCAAATCATATGTGAATAATACGCTAATCTATCCACTCATTTGTTCCCATTTATTTTTTTAGCAAAAATCTAGCAACAACGCCATGTAAAAAAAAAACTACTGATAAACTGTGGCCCACATATTCTTTAACCTACCACAAATGTACACGTTTAAATAGATATCCCATTTTGTGTAACTTTTATATTTTTGTGAATCGCATGTTTAAAGAGGCACAACCCCTTGCAAACCTGGCTTTTCTTGATCTTTCTGAATGTGTTTTTGTCGTAAATGCCAGCTTCACTGGATAGGTCAGTATGAGCCTTGTGGCAGCCTGCTTGATAAACGCCGACTGAGAGATGTCTGAATTGCAGTCGGCTCTCGACAGCACGATCATTATAATGTTGACCACTATTAAGCACACAGAGTATCACCACGCTGTGTTGCAGTGCTTACGTTTACTTGCGTTTTTTTTTTAAATACTCTCTGTATTCCGAGTCTGGGTTTTGATGGATAGTGGTTCTAAATAGCAACATCTGCTTCTATTCCAATATTCTTCTTCTATATAAATATATTTAACTCCCCAATGTACTGAGGTATTCCCAATGACCTTGGCTATTCAATATTTTTCACTGCCACCACCATTTGGTCTTTTGTTAGAGTTGCCACCTTTTCCAAAGATCAAACCGAGACTTATTTCTCAGTCAGCCTACCATAAAACTATGCAACACACTACAATAAAATTCAACACATCAGACCTTGGTACAAAACAATTGCTGCCACCCAACACACACAAAAGATGCTAATTCGCGGGCTGCCTGGGTCAAATCAGGACAGGTAGCAAGCGGCCATTCTGTGTAGTGTCACCAGCGTCTGACATTGATTTGTTATTTACTTTCAAGCGACCTGCTCAGACATTTGTGGCGATATATGTATTTAATCGTGTTCACATTTCATGGTTGTTACACCCATGAATTACTGAAAATAGTATTTTTAATTTCCTAGTTGTACAAGAGGTGGCACATTCGCAAGAACATTATTTTCTTGCGTGTGATGACAGCAATATGTTCAGGAACTATATACCAGTCTGTTCTCATATAACACTGCGTGTTGTTTTCATAACGTGAATTGGATATATAACGCGACTAATGTATTTGGGAACACATTTTTTATAACGCTGTTTGCGAATTGGATATAACGCGATCGAGTGAACGGAACTACGTCGCGCGAGTAGTGGCATCGCACAAGGCGTGACATGACACAAGGCATTGGGATGCTGCTGGATGCTTCTAGACGCTACCCACGCGTCTCAGTCTTTGTTCGGCCTGCGTACGCATCTCACGTGTTATCGCGGACTGCGTTTCATCCCTATATTATTCATTACAACGCGATTTTTCCATAACGCAACTACCGCCGCGTTATAGGAAAACAGGCTGCAACAATGCCGAGGTCTGCGGACCACGACGAGAGGACTTCGGGAGAGAGTTTGTGTAGTTTTGCTCCAAGTGTTCCCTCTCCCCCACCCCCCTGCGTTGTCAAGGGGGCCCGCGATGTTAATGCCAATGGGAGAGCACTCGGGGTGTTTGTGCATCACGAGAAATGGGCATTGGAGTGACTTAGGCAACCGCAACAACTCGCTCAGATGTGGACAGAGCGGTCGGGGTTGCGATTTGGCAGCGCAACCGATGGACTAAAGCAGGGGTCGGCAACCAAAATAACAAGAAGAGCCATTTCTTTCCAATTCGGTACAAAATTCAGTATTTCAAGAGCCGCAATACGTACTTATCGTCAAGAAGCAGCCTGTAAAGAGCCGCATGCGGCTCCGGAGCCGTAGGTTGCCGACCCCTGGACTAAAGGTTCGGAATCGGTTTTTAATTAATTTAAAAAAAATCCTAATTCCCAACGAAATTGGAAGGGGGGAGGGGGTCATTGTTGCCCATGGGTTTAATTCCTATTCACACGCAGCACATGACGATGTGTTTTGTGTGTGTCGCACGCACCGAGAAATGAAATCGTGGCAGAATGTCACAGAAGGAATGATTCTCCACTTAAATCACAATGCGCTTTGCCAAGGCTTTAATACAGTATTGACAAAAGGACTCGCAACAATTGTGCAATTCATGAGCACAGAACAAAACAGCGTTCACGTCAAGGCCGAACAATCAACCCGTTCATACAGCGGCGCATTGACACCGAGCTGCAACAGTTTGATGCTAAACCACGCACGCAGGTGGGCGGACTGCTGCTACGGACTGCATGGAACACGTGGCGCTGTTTGCGAGCACCTATTAAGTACGAGCCACAGTCGGGTTAACACGTGGACCCGTGTGGACTGTCGGAGGCGGCGCGGGGCTTACCAGTGGCTGGAGCCCAGCCTCGACCGCCTTTGTCTCCCCAGAGCACCACCGCACCAGCAAATGATCGAGGCCCAGTCGAACCCAGGCAAGGTGAGAGCCGGGACCGACAGAGGGCAAGTGCCCTCGTTGCGGAACAGCGAAACGCGTGGCTGGGGCAATGGTGCGCAGCGGTAAAAGCGCACTGCGGCGTCCAAGTTCGAGTGCAGCTCTCACGGCTAACATCAGTGGCGAGTGATATTAATTGGTTCCTGCCACTTCCCCTACCCACCACCAACTAAACCGCGTAAAGTACAGTATCGCAAGGTCAATCATCCCCACGAGAAACACGTGGGGGGGGACAGGCCTTGTCAGCAGCCGATTAAAGCTAGGGCCGTACATTGAATGGCAAATCACCACCAACAACGCGGGCGATGGCTGTCGCTTACAGAGGGCAACTCGTGCTGTTAGCGAGCACATACCGAGGTCGCCTTGCACACAACGCACGCCGCCGCCGTCACCACCATCACACACGCACACACCGGCGAGGCCTGCTCAGTTTTCAGAGGGCACAGCATCCTGCCCACGAAGGGTATTCAACACACAGCCGCAATGTCACTTGCACACCCCCCACCCCACCAAGAAACCACGCGGCTTAAGCGGACGAAACTCATCCCATTCCATCAATTCGCGCGAGACATCGGATTTCCGGCCACTCTTTGGCGATGCGTTCCTCCTCTCCCCTCCGCCTGCCACCGCTTACCGGTCGGCAGGAGCAAAGCAGCGGCGGCTCTCGGGATCGCGTTCGTGTTGTAACTGCGACTCGCGCACGCTGCCCGTGACGTCGCCGCCGCCGAGGAAGGAGGTCGACACGTTTCCAATTACGGTGTGGGGAGTGGGGAGGTGTGGGGAGTATGGAGGTGTGAGGGGTGGGGGTTGAGGGTGGGGGGGGATGGGGGGTGAGGGATGAGGGTGGGGGGTGAGGGGTGGGGGGTGAGGGGTGGGGGGTGAGGGGTGGGGGGTGAGGGGTGAGGGATAGGGGTTGAGGGTGGGGGGTTGAGGGTGGGGGGGTGAGGGATGGGGGGTGAGGGATGTGGGGGTGAGGGATGGGGGGGTGGGGGATGGGGGGTGAGTGATGGGGGTTGAGGGTGGGGGGTGAGGGGTGAGGGATGGGGGTGAGGGATGTGGGGGTGAGGGATGGGGGGTGAGGGATGGGGGGGTGGGGGATGGGGGTTGAGGGTGGGGGGTGAGGGGTGAGGGATGGGGGTGAGGGATGTGGGGGTGAGGGATGGGGGGGTGAGGGATTGGGGAGTGGGGGATGGGGGGTGAGGGATGGGGGGTGAGGGATGGGGGTTGAGGGTGGGGGGTGAGGGGTGAGGGATGGGGGTGAGGGATGTGGGGGTGAGGGATGGGGGGTGAGGGATGGGGGAGTGGGGGATGGGGGGTGAGGGATGGGGGGTGAGGGATGGGGGTTGAGGGTGGGGGGGGATGTGGGGGTGAGGGATGGGGGGTGAGGGATGGGGGAGTGGGGGATGGGGGGTGAGGGATGGGGGGTGAGGGATGGGGGTTGAGGGTGGGGGGGGGATGGGGGGTGAGGGATGGGGGTTGAGGGTGGGGGGGTGAGAGATGGGGGTGAGGAGTGAGGGATGGGGAGTGGGGGATGAGGGATGGGGGTGATGGATGAGGGATGGGGGTGAGGGGTGAGAGATGGGGGTGAGGAGTGAGGGATGGGGGACAAATTAATGTGGACCCCCCCCCCCTCCCCATGGGTCCTAGCGTCGGTTGCACACTTGCACGTGTAATGATGAGGTGACACTGCTGCTGTGTTCATTTATGAAGTGTGTTGCGGTGGATATAGAAGAATCCACATTTTCTACATCGCAAACATTTTGCATATGCAGGGTCGCCCAACAGTCAGGACACATGAGGTCATATTTATTTTAACAAATCACAGGTTATTTAATTTATTTTAACAAATGTTCAAACTGTCTTCCATTAACGTTAATGCGTACATTAATTCTGTTTTGAAATTAATTTAGGATGTTTTTTTAAGATTACAGGTGTAATATTTGAACATTCATCAGTTATGTTTTGTCTCAATTAGTGCAGGGTTCTTGGTAGAGTTTTGTAAGCGATTGAAGAAAATGTATAATATCAATAATAGATCAAATATGAACTTAAAAAATAAACAATACCATTTGTTTAAAACATATTATTAGTGCGTGGGGCGCCATGAACCCAGCGACCCGAGTTCGATTCCCTCTCACGGCCAACATCAGTGACAATTATCTGAACCGGTGCCGGGCCTCCCCTAGGTCGACTCAGCCTCAAAGAAGTGAATATCTGGTGCGGTGTGAAAATACACACCGCACAAAAGAGGCCGGGCGTGGTGCTGGCCACCCACCCCTCGTGTGCCCTCCCGGCTTTCATCCGGTGCTCGTTCACTATAGTTGCCCCAACAGTTTGTTAAGGCTACGTGGAAGGGAAATGTGCCCTTGGGAAGGATAGAACAGTGGCGCAAGGACGCAGGTTTAGTATGCGTGTCGGTGCAGTAGGGGGCAGTGCAGCAAAAAACGATTCTGTATTACAACCCCAACTTCACCCACCCGTCCTGACCATCGCGGTGAATAAGTAATATTTTAAAATACTTTTTTTTAAAACACGCTTTAATGAAATGTACCGTACGAGTAATGGTAAAACTCCACGACTCCAGGAAGTGGCCACAAAGCTTGCCATAACGTAAGGGGCCATGGTGATTTACAGCCAACGTCAGTTGAGTGTGGACAATTAGACCCAAGGCGAAACATTTAACCTGTAAAAAGATGGTTTAAAAAAATGCAATGATAGAATATAGTATTGTCATCAGTATGACATAAGTATACCAAGTTTGCAGTCGATACCACATTGGGAAGTGGGTTAAAATTGAGTTATAAGATTTGAGGATACGATAACAACAACAGACAGAGTTAATAGAAAGCGTGTAAAAAGATTGTTTAAAATATGTTTTTATGATAGAATATAGTATTGTCACCAGTAAGACATAAGTATACGAAGTTTGCAGTCGATACCACATTGGGAAATGGGTTAAAATGGAGTTACAAGATTTGAGGATACGACAACAACAACAGACAGAGTGAGTTAAATAAAAGCGTGTAATAATAAAAACTATCTTTCGATTTAAAGCTTTCGTGACTGCAGGGATTCATATTCTTAGTTCTTTAGGTAAAGTAACGTAGAAGGGAAATAATATAATAAAATAAAACATAATAAAATACAATTCTCACGACGTTTCAGCCACAACGCAAGCAGCCATCCTCAGGTGAAGAAACAGAGCTGTCGGAAAGACAGCGTCCTAATTTGCTTGCGTTGTGGCCGAAACGTCGTGAGAATTTTCTTTATTATGTTTTATTTTTATTATTTCCCTTCTACGTGACTTTACCAAGATAACCAAGAATAAAAATATCCCCCACCAACAGACGACCCGCACGCAGTAGGGAGGCCCTCGTCCAGCAGTCGATTAACAAAGAGCCATACATGTATATATACATGAACTTTATGTACCGAATTAGCAGCCCCCACATAATCCGCGTATTGGGAAATAAACCCCACTTTATGAACACTGAACTAGTGTGAGTTATTACCGTATTATTCCAATAACACGCATTATTTACCCCCCGTATGTTTAAATGGAAAGTTGAAGGTGCGTCCAATAAATGTGTGTCCAGCTTTACTTTGTCTATCTTTCGTGTCATATAATCCGGAGAACACGGTAAGTCTTGCTCTTGAAAGCGCTTTGGAGGCGGGGTTGGTGGAACACGCAGAGATTGCGTGCTGTCAAATTCTTCGAGGTGGCCGGGAGATGGCAGTACAGCAAGTGGATACAGCGAGTGGATGTTGACTGATTGTCCCCCTCGTATGCGTGGGGTTTTTTTTCTTCCGGATACCACGTTTTCCTCCCACATTTTAAATATTCCAAAGATTGGACTCAAATCCCGAAGCAGCACTCTCCTGGAAAGTGTTCAGTCTGTGACGCGCACCAAGATACCATTTTAAGACCAAACATTGTAAGGGACTCGTTTTCCGAAACAATAACATACATTCCACATTCCCGTGACGGGGGCTAGTCTATCCATAGAATGACAGATGTTTACATCCCACAATGTTGTACTCGCTTTAACTACCTACATGGTATGATGGTATGAATCAGTCTCGGACAGGGATTTGAAGTCAATTTTGCTTCAGAATGTCATGGTCCCCGTCATACAAATGTGGATTGGCGACACAAGGAGATATACAATACTGTACAATAAATCATGCGTTTACATTCAATATACATGCAGCTTCATCTCAATCTCGAAAGGAAATGCTCGACATTTTTGACTGCACGCTCACGTATTTTGGGAAACGTCCAAAAATAGTAGACAATAGGAAGACAAACTTTCCATTGTGACGGCTTAAAGGTCTCGACACTGGCAAATCACAAACAACTTGCTTCAGCGGTATAGAACGTCACTTTATTTGCAACTGGCGTCCAGTAAGCTTTCGCATCCAGTGTACGCTAACCATTGTGACACAAGCAATCTCTGTATGGTCTTGGACCAATGTACGTGCGGGCCCGACTGATCTGCCATACGACTGGGGTTTATACGCTCCGCTCTTCAGAGCAGGACATTACTACTACTCTTCCAGCCTCGGCTCTTGCGCTCAACGCTGGTTCGGGAGGGGGGGGGGGCTTTTCAAGTGTTGCCCCAAAGATCTCAAATGCCTCGCCCGCGGTGATCCGGCACGCTACGAGCCTCAGTGTGTTTAGAAGGGAGTGCAAGGCTCATTATTTTCTCATGGCTTTTACTTGACCGTTATTTTGTCTTTGAATTTTATTTTAGTGTACAATGTTTTGATACGCCCTTGAGTTGAGGCGATATTAAATTCTAAATAAATATGGTTTACGGTTTAGTATGTATATTCTTGGTTCTTTCGGTAAAGTCACGTAGATAGTCACGTCGATTCTATCTACATGACTTTACCGAAAGAACCAAGAATATGAATTCCTGCAGTCACGAACGTTTTAAGTCAAGGTTTAGTATGTCTCATGGATAACGCATATTTGCCGTCACCCATAATCTTTGGCAACCCAGCACAGAAAGAGTTGTTTTAGTTGAGTACGCCTCACTGCTGATGAAGCTCAAAAGAGTTCAACCGGTACGTCCAACATGTGCCTGCTTAACATATAATGCGTAAAAAAACATTGGTCCACAATAATCTTTGTATGACATATGGAGATAGATTTTCCGTCTATTATTTTCTCTTGAGCTCCCCGTTGTGGAGCAGTGGTGTGAGCAAGTAGGTTGCAAAGACTGAACATTTACCCTTCATTAATACTTAGTTGCACATATCTCCCGAGTAAGGTACAGCACGCAGTCCTGTAATAATAATTTAGATTTTCAAGGCGCATTCCATCCTAATTGGATCCTATTCTGTATTGAAACCGTCTGAAAGGAAAATAACAATAACAACTGATAATGCATAGGAGCAGTAAGTTACGTACTTGTGTCTCGCTATGATTTAACAAATCAAATTCCAATCACGTGTGAAACATACATGATAACACAAACATACGTTAATCTTATTTATCACCTGGATTATC